TTAATTCTGAAACTCTCTTGGAATTTTTACTACAACTACAAGAAGCAAGACCTTGATAATTTCCCAATAGAGTTTTAGTGACAATTCCATAGAAATTTTGAGCTGAATTTAAATTAAATTCAGGTATTAATTCCAAGAGTTAGCGGTGCCGGTGGTGTAGTGGTAAGCGTGATTGCCTCTCACCCTAATATGCCTGGGTTCAATCCCAGTCGGCGCCACCGGGATTTTCTGAAGAGGGAAGTAAACCCGTTGGTCCCCGGTCCATGAGTTGATGAGTCGATATGGTAGGGTCCAGGTGTGGGAGCTGCCTTCCTGGCGTCGGAAGCATTGTTACTCAGTACGGAAAACAAGATCGACGAAAAACAAACCAAAGAAGAAGAAAAAATTCAAAAGTTCTTTTAAAAGAATTGTTTGAGGAATTCCTTGAAGAATTGAAGAAATTTTAAGGGAGTTTTGACTACAATCCGATGGTAACTCCGTTAAAATATCTTAGGCTTTGTGAGGAGAATACTTAGAAGAATGCCAGGGAGAATTTTGCGTTTTCCATGCTGAAAAAAGTTTTCACCTAGTTTCTATTGAAAACCCTCATAATATTTCTCCAGTAACAAAATTCAGCATTTCCATAGAAAATAGTTAGAGTGGGTCTTAGAATTTCGTAAAAATTGTTAATTTTGTTCCTTATCGAAAAATATTCGACCCGACCCGATCCGAAAAATCAGCATTTTTCCTAATAAGTTACTTCAGGCATAACATTTGATAACGGCACAAAAGCATTCATAAACAAACGCAAACCAACAACATCATCGGATAGGGGCAACTATCACCTTTCCGATAGTGGTATTGGTTTACGTGGGCGTACTTTGGTTCGCGTGTAAAGGGCCTTAGAATGTTTGTTTACAAATGCTTTTGTGCCGTTATCAATGTTATGCCTGATTTGGTATCATTTGGTTGGTAAGTAGAAATCCACTTGATTATATTTTATTCGTTGCCGACATTGCCTCTTTATTCAGCTAAGTTAGCAGCTTACTTGTTGTTAATTTATTTTTGACGTAGGATTACGTCAAATGATATCTACATGAGGGTAAACTTTGTGAAAACCAAAAATGAAACATGTAACGAAATTATGAAAGATTTTGAACGTTAATAACTCAACTGCCCCTGGACCAATTTCAATAATTTCATCACCAATCGATCAGAAATATTTATTTGCATCGATAGCAATGCTTCCGACTTTTAACAAGAAACTATTCAAAAAGTGGTAAATGTTAAGCATTGTCCAAAAGCGTCGGAATAACTAACAAATCCACCAATTACGTACATGCATATGCTGCTTCCCCAACACAGTCATCAGAGAATGGTTTCTAGACAAAACATGTCGATCAAGCATTGCTGCTTCCCCAACACTGTCATCAGAGAGTTGTTAGTGGACGAAACAAGTCGAAGTGGCATTCACCTCCGATTTTCGGGCGTGTGCAAATAGGGAGGATGCAACTGCTTAACATTTTGCACTCTCATCACCATATTCAGAACCACACGCCCTCAACGACCACGCAAAATTCTCTCCAGAGTTGTAACATAGAGGTAACTTGTAACTTGTAACCAAACTTGGAAGCAGGGGTGCAAGTGATTTTGATCGATTCTCTTCATCGATTTTCTGTTTCTGTCACCATTGCGTACAACCCCATAGGGCTGTCCCTTGTAGTTTTTATATATATTCCGTGTACAATTGAGAGTTTTTAATTGAAATTCGGCGATTTGTTTTACGGCTAAATGACCTATTCGGAGAAATGACCTTAGGTGAAATGACCTATTCAGCGCAATAACACTTCTTCTTCTTCTTCTTCTTCGCATTTCAAGCTTATTGCATATCGCATATTAGCTTATTGCGTGCTCTCAACTTAGTGTTCTAGATGCACTTCCACAGTTATTATTTGAGAGCTTTCGATGCCTTTACCATTTTTGTATAGGTATAATTGTGTGGCAAGTCCAATCATACTTCTGTGCCCAGGGAGGTCGAGAAATTTTCCAACTCGAAAAATTCCTAGACCGGACCGGGAATTGAACCCAGCCACCTCCAGCATGGTCTTGCTTTGTAGCTGCGCCTTCACCGACTGAGCTAAGGGAGGCCCAATAACACAGCCACCTGAAATGATGCGTCGAAAAATAATGGGTTCAAATGTTTAGAAAATGCACAAAAGTAAGTGTTGTTGGTTTGGATAGGCGAGCTTCGGTTCCCGCGAAAGGGCATTAGAAAGTTTTGTTTACAAAAGCTGATAGACTCTTTTCTATTGTTGGTTGAGAGTTTTCACATCTGTACGACTTCTGTGATGTTGCGATTAATGCTCCTGAAAACGAGAAGGGTTCTGAGGTAACTTTTCATTGGCTTCGCACAATTTCTCTGCAACTCCATACAACTTATGAAAAACATTATCAGCTCAACGGCTTTAGAGCTGCTCTACAGGACTTTTGGGACAGCTTCATCGGATTTATGAGGCAAGTTTGCGTAACGTTACTTGCCAAAGTCATGGTTAACGAAAAGCCCACATCCAACATTTGAGTATTTCACAAGATAATACTGGTCCCTCTACATTCCATTCTCTAAGTTCGCTCAAAAGCTACGTCAACTATGCATAAAATGCTCCACTACAATCAGTCATCTAACATAGATACGACTTCCTCAATTATTGCTCGCTAATTACAGGATTCAATTTGTTGTTTAACAAACCATTACAAAACGGAAATGCCTGTGCCTTTGTCGATTAAACAACCCAACAAACAATTGCCTATTGAAGAAACGACTTCTTGACGATTTTATTCCACTGCATGCTTAATAATACTTGTACTATTTTTAATAATAACTTCTGTTCAGGCTTTGTTCACACAAATCTGGAGAATTTATTCAACCACAAAATCGAAATATTTGGTTGAATAAGGTATGTCGAGAAGCTTTTATTCGACTTACAAGAGTTGTAAACAGAGCTTATTCGATCAAATTTTTGATTATTCAGCGTTTATTAAACATCTGTACTTCCTTAAACAGCGATGGTATAGAGGTGTATATAGACGCTTGAATATCATGTGAAATAATGTTTAATTATTACATCATTATACCTTTATTAAACAATTATTCAACTACGGGATAATTAATCCGAAAATAAGAACGGCACGGAGCAGGGTTGTGTTCTCTCGTTAGTCATTATTTCTTTCGAATTTATTTTACATACATACACACACACACACACATGTCGTGGGATTCGAACCATGACCTTCCGATCACCAGCCGCTTGCCTTGCCATCTGAGCTATCCTAGAATACATCATATGAGCAGCTAAATAAGCAATAAAAGCTTGAATCTGAAAACCTATCAGCACTTCCAGTCGTAACTCTAACTAATTGAAGGAGATGTGAGAATTATTAATTCATTCATAGTTATTTAACATTTGACCAACGTTACCTCTCCATCTCTAATTTCGATGGAAAGGATGCTATTCTTTTCTATAGATCTATGAATTGGTTGTCGTAAGTGATACGATTTATGATTACGATTTAAATTAATTAGGAGTAGAACATAAATAAATAAGGGTTGAGGTTGGGATTGAACTCGCGACCTTCTACTTGGAAAGCGGAAACGGTAACCACTATGCTACCAATTTCGTTTTGTTGTTAGCCTGAAGCACTGTTGTGGAATAATACGTCGTTTGTAAAACATTTATAAAGCATGCAATTAAAACATGGACGCATAGTGGTGTAAGAGCTATTATGCTGACTGTATTCACCTTTATTCAGCAATATTGTTAAGCAATGCAATGGAATCTAGTAATGGAGCTAGAAAACAATTATTAGACGTATAATAAAGCATGTTATTAAATCAATTGAAACAGTCGGATTAAAGCGTCAATGTATGTGCAAATTACACTTATTCAGTATGTTATTAGATCAAACTTCTGGTTCTGAATCAGGTTGAAGGTTTTCTGAGCACATAATTTGACAACCCGTTTTATTCAGCATTGTACACTGTTATAAAGCATTTATTCAATCTATATGCTTATTTGTGACTCTGAATTGTTTTTGGGCAGTGTTGTGGAATAATGACTCTAATACGTGGTTTATAAAGCATTTACAAAGCATTCAACTAAAACATGGACGCATAGTGGTATAAGAGCTATTTTGCTGACTGTATTCACCTTTATACAGCAATATTGTTAAGCAATGCAATGAAATCTAATAATGGAGCTAGAAAACATTTATAAGACGTCTACTAAAGCATTTTATTAAAGCAATTGAAAACAGTCGAATTAAAGCGACAATGTATGTGAAAATTACACTTATTCAGTTTGTTATTAGATCAAACTTCTGGTTCTGAATCAGGAAGACAGTCAACGTTTATAAAGCTTTTAATAAGTAAATTAATCATATCAGAGCAAACGGCGGAATAAAGGCGCATCTATCGATCTCAATGAGCTTTTTTCAGCACATAATTCGACATCTTGTTTTATTCAGCATGGTACACTGTTATACAGCATTTATTCAATGTGTATGCTTATTTGTGACTGTGAATTGTTTGTTGGGAATCCATCACGTGTATTAATCCAATGTGGTTGCGACAAATTAAAATATTGCTCATTCCAGCAGCCTCAATGATACTTGAGTTTCATTTAAAGTGTGCATTCTTTACCTCAAGCCGACTTTTTATCAAACCTAAATGAGGCAGTATGGTGATTGATCGATTTTCCCACACAAGTCGTCGTTTCAGCAATTCCTACAAATCGCTGCCATTGAGATCAGCTATCGAATCGAATCCATCTGAATCACAACGAGATCAATCACTCGTGTGTGTCTCTATCACATCTATAAGAGTTTAGTGATTAATGACTTTGAGGTAGAATTTTCCATGCCCGGCCCTAGCCGTCACCAGTCAGTCAACACCTTCGCCCTCAGTCTATAGTTAAGCGAATGTGACATATGATTAATGCTTCCTGTCATCTGCTCCCTCCCAACAGGTCCCGATGACGATCCGCTGCCGAACGAGGACGGTTCGGTGGACGACGGTGATGACAATAGTAAGGAGTTTATCACAATCAAAGTCACAAACCCGAGTCAGAACGAGGATGGGACGGACAGTGCCAGTGGTAAACTGACGACGACGGCAACGACGACAGCGACGGCCACCCCAGCATCTCGTTCCGGCAGCAAAAATCAGCAGAATGGCGACAAGAACGGTCCCAACACCACCATGGATGCGGACGGGGACGAGCACGAGGTCACGATGCCCGGTATGCACGGCCATGCACACCCCCAGCAGGGTAAAATATTTGGAATTGTCAAGATTTCCTTGCTGCTGGTGGTTTGGCTCGTTTTTACCGGCTTCCTTATGTCGAAGAACGAGAAGGAACTCGAACCCCGCCAGATGTCAGTTCCGGAAGGGAGGTTCAGAAGTGAGTTTTGCGCGCGAGCGATTTTCCGAAACCACATTGATAATTGTATGATTGGCTTTTCAGCGTACATTTTGCCAGACGCTCCTCCCGCATCCAGGGTAGGAATCTACCTCAAAGGTGCCTTCCTCAACGATCAGCAGCACAACATGACGAGCAATTACGTATCGGTGAACCTGCAGCTGCTCTACATCAATAGCAATAGCTCCAACATTACGTTCGTGCCGGAGCACGATGAAAAGTATGTGGAGGTAAGTGTTGCACTTTTCCAAAATTTATCTAGCTCTAATAATTTTCCCACGCAGAACATAACCGACACCTGGATGGTACCGGTCCCGGCCAAACTCGAGCAGATGGACCGGATGGACGAGATCACACGCAAACACGTGTTCGACATCGGCACTGCGAGCCATCGAAAAGTGGCCAGCGGGAAGGCGGTCATCCGAGTGTACATGTCCAGCAACTTGGATGCCGACGTTCCCGTCAAGTTCACCTACGACCCGACACCGATGGACAAAGAAACCGGCGTCATCTACGCTGCGATCGTACTGTTAGGACTGTACGTTCTCATCATTTGGGAGATAGTGAACCGTACCTTCGCAGCGATGCTTGCGTCCACGCTGGCTATCGGTGTCCTAGCGGCCATGGACGAACGGCCCAGTATGCCGAAGTTGATCTCGTGGATCGACGTGGAAACGTTGCTTCTGCTGTTCGGAATGATGATCATGGTCGCGATCCTTTCGGAGACCGGCATCTTCGACTTCCTGGCCGTGTACGCCTACCAGGTGACGAACGGCAGAGTGTGGCCTCTGATCAACTGTCTGTGTATCTTCACGGCCGTGCTGTCATCATTCCTGGACAATGTCACTACCGTACTTCTGATGACACCGGTCACTATAAGGCTGTGTGAGGTGATGGAACTAAATCCGGTGCCGGTGCTGATGTCGATGGTAATCTACTCGAACGTCGGAGGCACACTGACACCGGTTGGCGACCCGCCAAACGTTATCATCGCCTCTAATAGCTATATCTCGAAGAATGTGAGTTTCCGATTCCTCAAGAACTACGGACATGATTACTTAAATCCTTTTAATTTTCAGGGAGTCAATTTCGCAACTTTCACCCTGCACATGGCTATCCCGATTGCGATCGTAATGGTGACGACGTACTTCCAACTGCGCATGAAGTTCAAAACAATCAACGATCTGCGGTTCACCGAGCCACAGGACGTTCAGGAGGTTCGCCATGAAATCGCCGTCTGGCAACGTGCAGCCGCGTCGCTGTCGTCCTACTCCAAGGACGAAGATCTGGTACGCGAGACACTGCTCAAAAAGGTCAACAAGTTGTCCCGCTCGCTGAAAAAGAAACTGGTCAGTGGTTCGGTACCCGTGGAATATAAAGCCACCCTGGAGGATCTGAAGAACAAGGTTTGCAAACCGGAAAATTTTCTTAGACTTCCAACATTGATTATCGATCTATCCTCACAGTACCCGATCAGGAACAAGGTCCTTCTGGTGAAGTCCGCCGTCACCCTGGCGTTTGTGATCACATTCTTCTTCTTGCACTCGGCTCCAGATATTCAGAAGCTCTCGCTCGGCTGGACCGCCTTGCTGGGAGCCGTCCTACTGCTGATCCTTGCTGATAGGTAAGATCGCTCACTCGCTTTCAAACGGGATCAGCATTTACTAATCACGCATATTGTTTTTTTTTCAATCGCAGGGAAGACATCGAATCGGTGATTGCCCGTGTCGAGTGGTCCACCCTGCTGTTCTTTGCTGCCTTATTCATCCTGATGGAAGCGCTCGCTGAGCTCGGGCTAATCGAGTGGATCGGAAAGCAGACGGAGAATGTTATTTTATCCGTATCGGAAGAATCTCGTTTAGCTGTTGCCCTATTACTCATTCTCTGGGTGAGTATGGTTGTATTTGGGCAGGGAGGGTATTTGCAAATCGAAAGGGAGTTTGTGGGATTTTTGCATCGGAAGTACTTTGCTAATGCACCACCCAGGGGTCTCTGTACTTACACTGAAGGTCATTGGAACATGTCCTGAAGAACCTTTAGAGTTGATTTGGAAATCTCCTTGATTTAACATGAAAACCCTCTGGATTTGCCCTAAATATCCTTTAAAGCTGAGCTAGAAATCTCTTGGGCCTAACTTGATCGTCCCCTAGATTTATCTCTAATGTTTTCCAAGACACCCAAAAGAATACCTAGTGTAGCCCTACAGACATATAGGAATTGCCTTGAAGGTCTCCGAACTTTTCCTTTAAATTCTCTGGGTTTACCCAGCTGAAAATGGACTGAAATTGGCTTTGAATCCATCCGAATTTGCCTTGGAAAGTCTCTGAATTAGACTAGAGATCATCTCCTGGATTTCCAAGCCTTGTCCAATGGACTTGAACCGAGTGTTCTTTAAATTGATCGTATCGATCTTCTGAACTTGCCCAAAAGACTCCCTAAACTAGCCCGGGAGACCCTCTGTATCAAGTAGTTCTCTATTCATCTCCAGGAGACCCTTTGGGCTGGATCTCAAAGATTTCTGAACTGATCCTTGTCCAGATGCATGCTTGGCATACACAGTTTTGGTCACGAACTGCTCATTTGCAAATAACTTTGCACATAGTTGACGAAACATAGTTATTTTTGAACCAGTAGATAGAATAGAGTTTAAGCTTGTTATAGATACGTAACAAAAAGTTGATTTTAATTCTAGTAATAAACTATATTTGTTTTTGCGTTGTAAAAATGAAGTGAGAAGTGCTCGCTGCACATCTCGAACTTAAAGTGTAAAAATTCATTGTTGTTGGTTCAAATATTATGATTTACCTACTCTTTGCATATCTATAGTAAACTATGATCCTAATCTATCAATTTCTTTAATGAAACACGAATTTCATCAACTGAGTGAAAAGTTATTAACAAATGAGCAGTTGGTGTGTACAACTGTGCATGCCAAGCATCTCCAGAGGACCCTCTAGACCAGTGGTGGCTAAAGTGCAGCCACAACGTCAGCTTGAATTTCATTTTGCATTACGATTGTATGGCAAAATTAACAAAATTAGACTTAAAACATGACCATTGAACCAAAATACAGCCATTGAACAAAAGGAGATGAGCACCATTGCTCTAGACTGACCGATTAATAGGCAATCTCTGGCAAAGAAAACAAAATTCCTCTGCACATCGGCACATCGTACACGCTATTTCAAAACTTCCTAAATTTGGGTAGAGTCCACTCATATCTGTCAAAACTGAACCTACCCAAAAATGGGCAAACTATGATGGAAGTAACAAGTTGACAAATGAACAAAGTCGATCAGATTCATGTCGATGTTGTCAATTTGTCAACTTGTCACTCCCAACATAGTTTACCCATTTTTTGATAGGTTCAGTTTTGACCGATCTGGGTGGATTCTACCCAAATTTGGGTAGTTTTAAAATAGCACGTACAATCTTACAAACGTCTACCAATTTTTGGGTAGATCCAATGTTGACTAAACTGGGTAGATCCTACCCATTATTGTATTGAATTTATTCGAAAACAGTCGCGTCAAATCCGGTTCCTGAATCACCTTGATTTTGGTGCTTGACTTTTTGAAGAGTCATATGGTTTGTCGGAGTCGGAGTTTGGAGTCATCATAAAAATTAAGTAAGATAACAAAAAAGTTCAAACCTCCGTTATTTGTGTGCCGATTCTTAACCTTGATACTGAATTTACCAAATATCCGGAAAACTTTGAGATTTGGGCGTAACTGCTTTTGTAATCAAACACGTTGATCGACGATTTCTAGCGAATAAACGCTCAATTCGCGAACAAATTATACCAAATGATAGAGGAATCATTCATATACATGATTGCGCTATTAGTTTTCAAGATTGAGCTTTTATTCGCGAGAAATCGGTGATTGACGAGTTTATTTACAAAACGAATTACGCCCTAATCTCAAAGTTTTCCGGATATTTAAATTTTACGAAATTTTACAAATTTACCAACTGTAAAAATTTACCAAATTTACTACATTTTCCAAATTTATAAAACTTTTACAAAAATTATCAAATTTACCAAATCATCCAAATTTACAAAATCTATTCTGATGAATGTGGGCGTCTTAGTGGAATACCTGTATAATGAGAGAGAGAAGGATTAGTATTTTCCATTTAATTCCACTACTTTATTTGCTTATCCTTGACAGATACGCGTATTTCGTCTACAATGTGCAGACTTCTTCAGTGTCTTGTACTAATACTCGACTAGTAGTAGTCGAGTATTAGTACAAGACACTGAAGAAGTCTGCACATTGTAGACGAAATACGCGTATCTGTCAAGGATAAGCAAATAAAGTAGTGGAATTAAATGGAAAATACTAATCCTTCTCTCTCTCATTATACAAAATCTATTCCAAATTTAACATAGTGCCCAAATTTTTCAAATTTACCGACCTAACTAAATTAACCAATACTACATAGAGCAGGAATTAGGGCGTAACAGCTTTTGTAAACAATGACTTCTATCGCTAATTTCTAGAAATTTAAGGCTCGCCCACGCAAACCAACATCCTCATCGGGTAGGGAAAGACTTCCCCTATCCGATGGTTATGTTGGTCTGCGTGGACGTGCCTTGAATTCCTAGAAATCAGCGATAGAAGTCATTGTTTACAAAAGCTGTTACGCCCTAATTCCTGCTCTATCTAGAATAATTCACTTCTTCCTTCAGGAGGGAAGTAAAGCCGTACGGCTCTTATGTTGATGGATTCAATATTTATGGTCCATGTGTTGAGTTCCTTTCCGTGGATCAGTGATTGGCACTGAGATTGCGGAACAAAGGCCGACAGAAAAAAAAACAAGAATAAAAAAATACTAATTACCAAATTCATTGAATATTAAAAATTTAACAAATTATCAAACTTATCAAATTTACACTAACTTTACCCAAAATTTATCCAGTTTACCAAATTAAAACCATATTTATCGAATTATCCAAAATTAACCCAATTTTCACCTAAATTTACCACATTTACCACATTTTTCATATCCATCAATTTTACACCACATTCAACAATATTTACCAAATTTATCAATTTAAAACCAAATTTGCACCAAATTTACTTGCTGTACCCAATTTAAAAAATTACCTAATTTAGCACCAAATTTACCTAGTTTGCAAATTTGTCAAATTTACCAAATTTATCCAATTTACCTAATTTACCGAATTTTTCAAATTCATCCGTTTTACACCAAATTTATCAAATTAACCAAATCAACTACAAATTAACCAAATCTATCAAATTTACCACATTTACACAAAATGTATTTATTTGAATTTATTAAATTAACATCAAATTTACCGAATTTATTAAATTAACACAAAATTCACCAAATAAAACCAAATTTACCAAAATTTACCAAATTTACCAAATTTATCAATTTTACATCAAATTCAACAACATTTTCCAAATTTATCAATTGAACACCAAATTTGCACCAAATTTACTTAATGCACCCAATTTAAAAAATTACCTCATTTAACACCAAATTTACCTAGTTTACAAATTTGCCAAATTTACCAAATTAATCCAATTTACCAAATTTTCCGAATTTTTTAAATTCATCTGTTTAACACCAAATTTATCAAATTTACCAAATCAACTTCAAATTTACCAAATTTATCAAATTTACCATATTTACCCAAAATTTATTAAATTTATTAAATTAACATCAAATTTACCGAATTTATTAAATTAACACAAAATTCACCAAATAAAACCAAATTTACCAAAATTTACCAAATTTACCAAATTTTTCAAATTTATCAATTTTACACAAAATTCAACAAATTACCTAATTTAACACCAAATTTACCTAGTTTACAAATTTGCCAAATTTACCATATAAACACCAAATTTACCCAATTTACACAAATGTACCGAATTTTTCAAATTCATCTATTTTACCCCAAATTTATTTTTTTTCCAAATTAACTACAAATTTACCAAATTTATCAAATTTACCACGTATACACAAAATTTATTAAATTTATCAAACTATTATCAAAATTACCGAATTTATTAAATTAACACAAAATTCACCAAATAAAACCAAATTAACCAAATTTTTCAAATTCATCAATTTTACACCAAATTCAACAACATTTTCCAAATTTATCAAATTAACACCAAATATGCACCAAATTTACTTAATGTACCCAATTTAAAAAATTTACCTAATTTAACACCAAATTTACCTAGTTTACAAATTTGCCAAATTTACCAAATTAACACCAAATTTACCCAATTTACCAAATTTACTGAATTTTTCAAATTCATCTATTTTACACCAAATTTATCAAATTTACCAAATTTACCAAATTAACTAAAACATTTATCAAATTTATCAAAATTACCACATTTAAACAAAATTTATTAAATTTATCAAATTAACATCAAATTTACCGAATTTATTAAATTAACACAAAATTCACCAAATTAACACCAATCTTACCAAAATTTACCAAATTTACCATATTTTAAAATCCATCAGTTTTACACCAAATTTACCTAGTTTACAAATTTGCCAAATTTACCAAATTAACACCAAATTTACCCAATTTACCAAATTTACCGAATTTTTCAAATTCATCTATTTTGCACCAAATTTATAAAATTTACCAAATTAACTAAAACATTTATCAAATTTATCAAAATTACCACATTTAAACAAAATTTAATAAATTTATCAAATTTACCGAATTTATTAAATTAACACATACTTCTCCAAATTACCACCAATTTTACCAAAATTTAACAAAATTTACCATATTTTAAAATCCATCAGTTTTACACCAAATTTACCAAATTTATCCAATTTACCAAATTTACCGAATTTTTCAAATTCACCAACTTCAAATTTACCAAATTTATCAAATTTACCACATTTACACAAAATTTATTAAATTTATTAAATTAACATCAAATTTACCGAATTTATTATATTAACACAAAATTCACCAAATAAATCCAAATTTACCAAAATTTACCAAATTTACCAAATTTTTCAAATTTATCAATTTTACACCAAATTCAACAACATTTTCCAAATTTATCAATTTAACACAAAATTTGCACCAAATTTACTTAATGCACCCAATTTAAAAAATTACCTAATTTAACACCAAATTTACCTAGTTTACAAATTTGCCAAATTTACCATATAGACACCAAATTTACCCAATTTACACAAATGTACCAAAAATTACAAATTCATCTATTTTACCCCAAATTTTTTTTTTCCAAATTAACTACAAATTTACCAAATTTATCAAATTTACCACATACACACAACATTTATTAAATTTATCAAACTAACATCAAAATTACCAAATTTATTAAATTAACCCAAAATTCACCAAATAAAACCAAATTTACCAAATTTTTCAAATTTACCACTTTTACACCAAATTCAACAACATTTTCCAAATTTATCAAATTAACACCAAATATGCACCAAATTTACTTAATGTACCCAATTTAAAAAATTTACCTAATTTAACACCAAATTTACCTAGTTTACAAATTTGCCAAATTTACCAAATTAACACCAAATTTACCCAATTTACCAAATTTACCCAATTTACCAAATTTACCCAATTTACCAAATTTACTGAATTTTTCAAATTCATCTATTTTACACCAAATTTATCAAATTTACCAAATTTACCAAATTAACTAAAACATTTATCAAATTTATCAAAATTACCACATTTAAACAAAATTTATTAAATTTATCAAATTAACATCAAATTTACCGAATTTATTAAATTAACACAAAATTCACCAAATTAACACAAATCTTACCAAAATTTACCAAATTTACCATATTTTAAAATCCATCAGTTTTACACCAAATTTACCAAAATTACCAAATTTTTCAAATTCATCTGTTTTACACCAAATTTATCAAATTTACCAAATTTATCAAATTTACCACATTTACACAAAATTTATTAAAATTATTAAATTAACATCAAATTTACCGAATTTATTAAATTAACACAAAATTCCCCATATTAACACCAATTTTACCAAAATTTACCAAATTTACCATATTTTAAAATCCATCAATTTTACACCAAATTTACCAAATCTACTACATTTTCCAAATTTATCAAATTTACTAAAATTTACCAAATTAACACAAAATTCATCCATTTTACACTAAATTTACCAAATCTACTACATTTGTCGAACCTATCAAATTTGCATCATATTTAGTTAATCTAGATATACATAGCTGGAATTAGGGCGTAACAGCTTTTTTAATGACTACTCTCGATGATTTCTAGGAATTCAAGGTACGCCCATGCAAACCAATATAACCTGATTGCGATGTTGATTTGCATGGGCGATTTAAAAATCATCGAGAGAAGTCATTGTTTACATAAGCTGTTACGCTCTAATTCCAGCTCTATCACGAAATTTACCAAATATATCTGATCTGCTAAATTTACCAAATTTACAAAATTTACACCAAATTTATCAAATTTACTAAATTTATCAAATTATATTTACCATATTTACCTAATTTACCAAAACAAATTTGGAGGTCAGTACTCTTTCAGTAGTGCTATTAAAAATTCGACTATGTAGAATTCTACTAGATATTTTGATTAGCTTGCAAATACTCATTTCAGTTAAAATAATGTTTTGCGATATAATAAAACCAAAAGATGGTATGATGACATGTTTTACAAGTTTGTAACTTACAAGAAGAGGTTACAAAGTATGCGTTTGAAACATAAAACCTATAAATTTTGCTTTCTATGAGTCACAATCAGCGATTTGCTGATCGCTGAGTGAGTGAGTGAGTGAGTGAGTGAGTGAGTGAGTGTGTGAAAAATCACTGATTGTGACTCTCATGAAGTGAAATAAACAGGTTTAATATGTCAAACACATTCTTTGCAACCTCTTCTTGTATCTTACCTATTCAAAATATGATCGGATAATGAGATGCTCGATGACTCTGGAGGGATCGATTGTGCTTACTGAGCAGAAAATCATGGATTTAACCCCAAGCTCTTCCACAGCACAATAAATCGCCACCATCATTTGTATATTTGATATTGAATATTAACCTCGGAAACTATTTGTATTGTCGCGAAGCGTTATGGTTCTGAGATGCTCGATGACCCTGGAGGGATCGTGTTTGCTTACTGAGCAGAAATTCATGGGTTTAATCCCAAGCTCTCCGTCATGACTCTTAATATTCATTATTACTAAACAAAATAAATATGTTCTTTCGATAGCCGGCTATCGAGAGATTAAATCAACAACAAATAAGCAATACATACTTTTGGTTGCATCGCCAACTTGAGGTGAATCCTAACCGAATACCCTACCCAACCCTCCAACTCCGTAGCACTTATGAGGGTGTCGCTAAGTCGGTGGCCTCTCGTTAAGTAAGTACTACATCAACATTTCCTTCCCTATCCCTAGTTATGGTAAAGATGGGCGTGGCCGGGAATAGCGACAGTCATGCTTCTGTTACTCTTGTTTAGATTGGAACCAATGTTTACTCCCCAGCATTATTCCTGAAAGTAGTCTAACTGAGAATTTCAGAAGAGACGTGAGTGTCGCTAGTATCCAATCTACGAAGTATATCATAACAACGCTAACGCTAACGCTTACATATTCAAAATATGATCGTAGCATCTAATTATTTCATAATTTAAAAAAAAAAACATTGTTTTAGCTGAAATGAGTATTTGCAACCTTGGTTTTAACTTGCTAATGACTACCGACTCTACAAATATTGAAAATCCAAAAATTGGATATACAATCGTACCCAACCACCTTGTGACATGGCCAATTGAATCATAAGAAAGAGGAACTAAATTTCTTTCCGACAAGATAATATTCATCGGAGAATCATTGAAAATTAGAAATAATATTACAAAAATAGTGAAAATTTTAATTTTGGTTCGGTGGTCTAAGAGTTATAGATCCTTGAGTAAAATATAATTTTGTCGGTGATATAATGTTCGAATAAAAAGTAAATCTCGTGTCAAATAAGTATTTCATCTAACCATGCCAACTATCGTTACAGGTATCTGCATTCGCATCCGCCTTTGTCGACAATATTCCGCTGACCACGATGATGGTTAAGATCGCCATTGGCCTGGCCGAGAACGAAGCGCTCGACCTGCCCCTCAAACCACTTGTTTGGGCACTTGCCTTAGGAGCGTGCTTGGGAGGTTCGTACCTCGACTGCTGACAACCCTTCGTACAATTCTAACCTCATTCAACTCTCATTCCAGGAAACGGTACACTGATCGGTGCCTCCGCTAACGTAGTATGCGCCGGTGTTGCTGAGCAACACGGCTATAGGTTTACCTTCATAGAATATTTCAAGTAAGTTGCGATAACCTTAAAATCTGATCAGAACGCATTCTAACCTCACTTTTTTTCGTGCCCTTCTTGCAGAGTCGGTTTCCCAGTGATGGTCGGCAGCGTGATCGTGTCCACCATTTATCTAATGTTTGCCCACGTAGTCTTTACCTGGCATTGATCCGCTGGGATCCGGAATCTACACCACACACCACTCGTGCGCTGCCATAAATTCAAGGTCGACGTTCAAGGTCGTTTGGAGCATATCTGAGAAAGCAAATCACTAAACAAACAAGCAACAAACCGATTCCACACGAGAGTTTCCCAGAGCACCGGACCGGACCCCGCGCGACTGGAGTGAATAGAACAAATGATGTGATATCCTTCCGAAATCCCAATCAGCTGTATAGAAATAACAAACTGTTAATGTTTATTGCTGCGTAAACTTACGCCAAGCAAACGGTAGATCACTATATAACATTAGGACACAGACACGGTAGACCCGGACACCGAGCGAGAGAGGGAACAGCAGAGCCAGGCGCACAGGATCAAAAGCAAGCCCCGACCTCCAGCAGAACGAACAAATTGTCAATTTCATCCATAATTAAACTCAGCAGCCGAGTTGATCTAGCACACTAAGATATCAGAGTAGGCTTACCATCATCCATGGCTACCGACCACTCCTCACGACCGTTTTCCCAACAAACAACGGGGGCTGATTAACAGCTGAATAAGCTCTTGTTTAGTTTCCAATGTTTGTTGGGTTGTCTCGGAAGTTGCATGAAAACACCCCGCCTTCTTCGACCTGCGCTGTCCTACCCATCCTTCAACTGTTTATTTGTTTCAATGCTCGTTTACTCATTAAGCCACTTGTTCATAACGATTAGTCTTAATGTTTATTTTTTCAGTTTACTTTATGTTTTGTATTGTATATTTACAAAATAAAGTGTTGAAACTAGTTGCATAGCATTTCAACTATTGAAAAATACATATTTGAGTTAGTTAGTTCAAAATAGCTAGAAAATTAGTTGATTACAAAAGAAAACTGTATAATAAACTATATTATTTAAAGTAAAAGAAAATAAAAACAAACGACATTCCACACACACACAAAAAGAAACTAAACCGTGAAAGGAAATAAAAAAAAAGAAATGTCTAAAACAATCGAACGATGCGAGTAGCAAAAGGAGAACATCAAAAGAGACACGTCTTTATGATTAGGAAAACAAAAATGGAATATATTTTTAGAAATTAAATTTACTGATTGCTACCCGGAAAGGTTTGGCAAGAACGAGTAAAAACTCATCGAAAGGAAGAAAGTCATTAAAAACAAACAAACAAACAAGTTAAAAGAGAATCACCACTAAAGCAAAGCTAATTAGTGTTATTTATCGATTAGTGTTTAAATTAGATTCAAATAAATCCAACTGTCAGGCAGTTGCCATTTGAACTACTGCTACTACTACTACTATATTGTTTCGATTTAGTCTGAGCAAATCTGCTACAAGCTAATTTGAGAATCACACGAAATTTCCAAACAAGCAAAAAATTGATGAAACATTACGGAGAACGGAGAGCGAGAGAAAAGAAAGCTTAAGAGCCCGGCTTAATTATGAATGAGATTTGAATCGATCAGGATAAAGAGTGAGAGAAAGAGAAGACGTCTGACGTTTCAGGAGAGAACAAATCGAATTTAGGCTTAGAGCCACACACTCAGTCTGGGCAGACGGTCTTCTGGAAAAAAAACAGGGGGGGAGGGGGCAATGTTATGTACAGTTCTTTTTTTTATTAATCACAAAAAATAAAGCAAATTGTCGATGGTGCGAGACAAGGAGAGGGAGTGAGAGGGAAAGAGCCAAACACCATTCGCGAGAACGAGCAAGAGATGCAGAGAAGAGCAAACCAAAAAGAAACCAGTGTTGTATCAATTAGGAAAGGAAGAAGAAATAGAAGCGACGCGGTGTAATGAAAATTAGGAAATTTATATTTGAATCAATGCAAAACAAAAGAGGTAATAAAATTCAGAAGAATGATGATTGAGTGTGTTTTAATGACTGGAGAAATTTCAACCAATAGAATACTGTGGAGCACACTGTAGCGGGCAGGGTTGGGGAGAATAAAGAACGCATAAATTCGGATTATGAGTAATTTTTAGTATTTTTATAATCAAAGCTATGATTTATTATGCAGTATTTTTTTTTGAACCATTTGTGGTTCCCAAAAATTGACAATTCAAGATCGATTCACGAGAAAGGACCACATGAACTCCAAGAGAGAGAGAAATAATTTTCGAATAATTTGCAGTTTTCAATTGCCATGAGCCAAAGAGCTGCTCACGTTTTGAAAAAGAGTCACCTTCGAGATTGAGAAATAACTCGAGAAATAACTGTCGACGAATGTTCAATTGTTTTTGTTTGCCAAACAACAAGGTGTTCAACAAGCATTTAACGGTCAATTTAAAAGTATCGTAGTTGGTAGTACCGCCACCTGTCGCACGCATAGTCCATTCCCTGCTCGCAGACACCTGAGAAGATGTGGGGATGGTAGAAGTAGTCAACCCACTAAACCTTACCCTGTGCTCTTGGCCCTTGCCCTCCCCGGAACCGCCCGAAAGCATTACATCATGGGAGGGGGCCGATTGCGCTATGGCGCACCACTAGTGTTTTCACTCGCTACTGCACAGCGAGCGGCTGTGCAGGGCCTTCCTCTTAATCGTTCGCCGTTAGTTGTTCGCCTGAGTTCTAGAGCAGACGTGGCAGCAAGCCAGCTGTCCACGGCGGGACAGGACAAACGTGACTGCGTACTAGCTGCGTGTGCTGCGACTTGGTCAGAGTCGTCTACACTCTAAGAACCCGTTGTCACTCCTGCCTTTGCACAATGAGGGTTTGTGCAGGGCTTATCGACCTCCTGGGACGAGCCGCTTTTTCTGCTGAACACTCGTTCTACAATGTTATACACTCAAAAAATTCCACACGTCATCACCATGTGTCTCACACTTAATTTTGCGCTTATTGTGGAACACATCCATTTCATGTGTGCATCTTATGCTATGAACCATGCCTGAACATTATAGATTTGAATTGTGACACACTTGGATTCTATGTGCCTCATACACTCAAAAAATTTCACACGTTTGATCGAAGTGTTTAAACACTTGATTTTTTAAATGCAGAATCACATTTACTTTAAGTGTATTTCACCTTGGTTCAATGTGTTATACACGTTAATTTATAGTGTTTCAAACTTTGAAATGTTGAAATTTTTTCACTATCTATTCAAGTGTACTGCACATTGAATCACGCTACTGTTCAAAACAGATGGATTTAAAGTGTTTTGCATTTCAATACGATGTGAATTGCTAGCTCAGAAAGGTAAACATCGAAAACAAGAGTTGTGACTTTTCCCTATCAACCCGCCTTATATATGAAAACAACCGTGGCACAGAGAGATCGAACGAAGACTCTGGCAGCAGCACACCCCAACAGTTCATGATCGAATCTAAAATCAGACCCATTAAAAAGATATGTGAAAGCTCTGGCCTCTGGCAGTTTTGTTTATATATTTGTCGATTCATTTTTAGAGTCGGTTAAGTAGAAGTCGATAAAGTAGAATATTGTAGAATATTGAACTATGGTGTGCAAAGCTATTGATATCACCATATGAGGCACATAGAATCCAAGTGTGTCACAAAGATTCACACATGAAATGGATGTGTTTCACAATAAGCGCAAAATTAAGTGTGAGACACATGATGATGGCGTGTGGAATTTTTTGAGTGTATGGTGATATCAATAGCGTTGCACACAGCGTTGCCAGATTGTTTTAAAACTTATCGGTGTCAAATTAATACCTTCGGTATTTATCGGTATTTACTATAAATTAATTTTATATTTTTCGCCGTTTTTGCAAGCGAAAATTTTAACGATGGTGACGACTGGGACTTGAGGGGAATTACTTTTTTAACGACTTTCTCAGTCTTTAAACAGTCCTTATTTTTTTAATTTAATTTCTAAAATAATTGTTGTCCTCAAGTGGTGATCAAAATTGTGAGAGAGTAGTTTTTTCAATTAAATATCATTAAATGAAACCAAAATATGGAAAATCAGCCACAACAACGACTAAACTATTGACAATAACGACAAACAATATTTTCACTTGAAAAGGTCACAACCCATGGTCGAAATGTCGAGCAGATTACATCGTAGTCGTTGCAGTGTTTTAAGACTGAGAAAGCCGTTAATCAAAGCAAATTTTTAGCTTTTGTACAATGATCGGAAAATTACGGAATAAAACTCCGGGGAATGTTTGAATTAGTCTCTGAACGAAGCCGAAAAAACATCCAGAGAAAGGCAGAAGAAACTTCCAAGACACGAATTGAGAAACTTGTGGCGAAAATTTAAATACACTATCGGAAAAAATGGGATGTCACATCTAATGGAAGCCAGAAAAGTTTCGGAAACCGGAAGTAAATTTTCAGAAGTAGCCATTTCCAGGGAAAGCCAGAAGAAGCTTGGAAACACCTTGCAATAGAAGTCGAACAAAAAAACCTTTGGCTTATGGTCAAACTTCCAGAAGACGAAAGAAATTTCTGGGAGAATTAATTGAACTTCCTGGGGAAAACGAAAGAATATTCCTGGAGAAACTTCCTAAGGTAGATTGGAAGAAACATCTGAAGAAAGTCGGAAGCCAGAGTGCTTACGGAACAGTCGAAAGAAACAACTACATAATTCCGGAATAAAGAGATTCCTGGGGGATGTTATAATGATCCAGAAAATTTTCCTGATCTTCATAAAACATCCCTTAAGACTCCGCAATTTCCCTGAAGTTTTCAGAACTCCATAATTCCTCGAAATTCCTTAAAAATTCTTATAATTTTCCTGAAATTAGGAGCTGTTTAGGAGTTCTTTGGTCATCCTCGAAGTGTTCGGAACTTCCCTGATTATAATAAGACTATCGGAATATCTCTAATCATCTTTGAAGGTTTCTGGACTTTCTTGAAGATTACAAAATCTCTTTAGTGCTCTCACAATTTTCTTGAATTTTCTTCTCTGATCTTCCCGATTTTTTTTTAATTTTTAAAAATTTTCGACACTGCCATTAAAAAGCATAGAACTTGCCATAATATGTTCTCACAATGTTCTAATGTTCATTTAACTTCCCTTACTTTTCCTAAATTTGCATGAGCCTCTCAAAACATTGTTGAAGTTTTCGGAAATTGTCTGAGTTTCTCGGAACTCCTTTAGAATGTCAGCAATTTTATTGATTAATTGATCTGTCCTGATGTTCTCTGAGCTTCACTAAAGTTCCCGAAAACCATTAAATTTCCCTGAAGTTCTTTGGACTTGTGAAATTTCCAAAATATTTATGATGTTTTCTTAAGTTCACTGGAGTTCGCTGGACTGTCATTAATTTATTGAAACTTACACAAAAGTCTGAACTTTTCAGAAGTTTCGGATCTTCTTAAATGTGCCTGCAGCTAGTTCGCAATACAAATCTGATAGCATCCTTGAAGTTCCGTGAAAGTTGAAAAAACTGGCGGGAGAAGATGAAAGATTCATGGAGGCTGAAGAAGCTTCCAAGGTAAGGTGAAAGAAAATTCCAGGAAAAGTTGGATGAAACTTCAGGAAGTTAAAAAATGAATAAAAACTTCCGGAAGTTAAATAATGTTTGAAATATATTTCTCGATTCCCTAGGAATTACCCTCGGAATTATCGGAAAGATCCAACGACTATTTCGCGATTGATATGTATCCAGAAACGGCGAGGAAATGCAAACATGAGTCGAAAGAGTATCAAGCATAAGGAATCTTTAGAGATGATTGTTTAGAATTTTGAAGGCTCAAAAAATATGAGGTACACTGGAGTCGATTTTTACGCGGTTTTTTTACGTGGTACGGTTTTTTTTACGCGGTTAGTGCCGCTGAGTCGCAATTTACGCGGTAGGTTTTTAAACATTTCTCGAGAACGATACGACCTATCGACATGATTCCAATCACATTATCCGTTTCAAACTATAGGTAATCGAATGGCATACTTTTAAAAAATCACAATTTTTGGTACATAAATTTTTAAATACATAAATTTTTAAAATATGTCTATATTGACCATAGTATGCTATAATAACGAATGACATAAAAATCCGATTTATAAAAAATATTTAAGCTAGTGAAAAATCAAAATCTTGGTAGTTTTTTTTACGTGGTTTTTTTTACGCGGTTTTTTTTTACGCGGCACGTATCCCCCGCGTAAAAAGCGACTCCAGTGTATTCAAAAAGATACAAGTCTCTCCGAAATTCGAACGCGGGCAGGCAATAATAATTTGGATTATTTAAAAAAAAACGGTATAAATCGGTATAAAATCTTAAAAATCGGTATTCTGAGGAACCTTATCTGTATATCGGTATCTACCTAGTTTGGAAATCGGTATAAATACCGATAAATCGGTAATTCTTGCAACGCTGGTTGCACATCATAGTTCAATATTCTACAATATTCTACTTTATCGACTTCTACTTTACCGGCTCTAAAAATGAATCGACAAATATATAAACAAAACTGCCAGAGGCCAGAGCTTTCACATATCTTTTTAATGGGTCTGATTTGGGACTCGATCATGGACTGTTGGGGTGTGCTGCTGCTCTCACTATGCCACGGTTGTTCTCATATATGAGGCGTGTTGATACACACTACAAAAAAAAGTCGTGTAAATTTCGGTTCCCTGAGACCGACACATGTAAGCGGCCCTTTTGATATAAGAAACGAGAAAATCATATCAATCAAACGTTCTCTTCGTCGAGTTGCTTATGTTTCGGTTTGAGAGCACCTAATTTTACATCAAAAGTTTGTTTATGTTGCATGATTTACGTCCAATATGGATTACGTCTCGTTTAAAAGTAGTTATTTCTAAGTGTGTAGGATAAGGTCACAAGCACAAGTCTTGTTTTCGATGTTTACCTTTCTGAGCAAGCAATTCACATCGCATTGAAATGCAAAACACTTTAAATCCATCTGTTTTGAACAGTAGTGTGATTCCAATGTGCAATACACTTGAATAGATAGTGAAAGATTTTCAACATTTCAAAGTTTGAAACACTATAAATTAACGTGTATAACACATTGAACCAAGGTGAAATACACTTAAAGTAAATATGATTATGCATTTAAAAAATCAAGTGTTTAAACACTTCGATCAAACGTGTTGAATTTTTTGAGTGTGCACATGCATTTTTTTTAATACGTCTGATTTGGGACTTGATCCCGAACACTTGGGGTGTGCTGCTGCCGTTGTCTTCGTTCGATATCACTGGGCCACGGTTATTCTCATTTGTAATCTTTGGTTGATAAGGATGAAGTCACGACTCATGTTTTCGATTCTTTGTAGAAAAAACAGTTCACATCGCATGGAAATGCAAAACACTTCAAATCCATCTATTTTGAACAGTAGTGTGCAATACACTTGAATTGATAGAGAACAGAGATTATCAACATTTCAAAGATTGAAACACTATAAATCTACGTGTACACACTTAGATTTTTGCCGAGATTGGCACCAACGAGCAGACTCGGTATTTATTTTTAGATCTCAGCTAAATTTATGTTTGTTAGGCGAGATCTCGGCACAATTGGGTTCTTAAATTTTGCCAAATATATCGGTTTTTGAATATCATCTGAAAGAGCTTCGTTTTCTGAGCACAGCGATATTTTTTTCGAAGCCACACACTTTCATCTCGATTTTTAAATCAAGATTTAAAGCAAAATAATAACTACACTGTTTGACACTAAACTGACAAATTGACAGCTCGCTCCCATACAAAGTGACACCGAGGGGCGCTAATAAGGTGATTTTTGCAAATGTAATCGTACTTATTTAAAATAGTTCCAGTGTACCAAAATTGATGAAGCTTTGGGTTTGGGTTACATTTTTAATGATCAATTGCAATCAATTATTAATTTGTACGTAAATCGAATCAAAAATAATAGTCATGTGAAATGCTAGCTTCTAACAAGGGTTGCAAGATAATTTAGGAATAAATCCCTGCTGCCGAATTGGCAAATCAAAGTTGGCACTCGTGGAGAATAGAAGAACTATGAGAGTGATTATGGTTTCAGAATTTTTCACGGGGAGGTATAAGAGTCTTCTAGCAATCTTGAAATGCTTTTATTTTGCAAATGGAGCAATTTATTTAAATTTTATTTATTTAAAACTCCATCTATCGTATAAAAAATTACCACTACAGTCTGTTATTTGAAATTAGCATCTTCAACTATCGAAAGGTACACTTTATCACCAAACACCCATTTTTCATGTCCATATGTTATATTCATTGCAAAAAAAAAACACGGCATACATTTAAACGCAGTGTGAAAATGACATAAATAGGTCCAACCAAAATCCATTATCCTACGTGGGTTAAGATGGCACCCAATCGCATAAGGTTCATGACGGTTTAACCCGACTGGAAAGACATTTTAATCCAAGGGATTTAAGGGTGTTTGTTGTTCGGATTGGTCTAGTTGATTATTTACTTTCAATCCAGTGCAGTTTTCCACTATATTCTTTATAAAGGATTTATGTGATTTCGTCCAAGAGATGTCCATTCTCTTCGTTTCCGGTGATTCCTCATCGTCTTAATAACAATTGCTGGCAAATTTCTGCTATTAAAAATTCCACACTCGGAGGTTGTCGTCGGACAGCAGCAAATGACGTTGCAGTTGACTAGTGAAAGACGCTGTGAACACAATAATCTGAGCTAATTTAGGTACATAACCTCAAATAACACCGTCAACGAAACGTACCTGCAACGAGTGCCAGTTATTAACATTTTCCGTAAAATCGCAACGGATTTCGAAATGATGCAACTCCAATCGCACCACTTCCAGCGCTGGCTGGTCGAAGAGTGATTTATCACATGTGATCAAATTGTTCGAGTACGGGAACATCAGTATCAATTCGTCAATGCTTACATGCAGATGTAGGAATGGTCGCAAGTATACGTTGAATGCTTCCTTCCAATTAGTGTCTTTCAACTCTACGTACAGCTTTTTCATTCGATTGCCGATGTCGATATTCATCTTTACAAGACTTTCTTCGCAGGTTGACAGTGTGTGAAGTGTTGGAGCATTGAATGATAGTTCACAATCAGCTTTCGGTAGCTTAACATTCCTCATCTTGAGCAGTCTCAATTCTTGTGCCTCAATGGGATTGCATCCACTCAAACTCAATCCAGATAACTCAATCTGCTGAAGCTCTGACAACTTGTCAAACACCTGGTTCAAATTTATCCTACCGTGAGGCGCATGACAATTTCTCACCTCAAGTTTCAATCCTTCCAACTTTGAACAACCGAGGATCGTTTCAATAATGCTGTGTGGTAGTTCTAACTCAACTGATAACTCCAACCATTTCAAACAAGGCATACCTCTTACCATATACAGATCGTAGTCATGATGGTGAAAATCTAAAATCAACGTCTCTAATCTCGATAAATAACCGGTGAACACGTTTTCGAATGTCTTCGTGCGAAATGAACACTTCACGTGTTGCAGCTGATCGCACTCAGGTATTTTCAGCACAGCCGTAGGATCCAGGGCATCACTCACAACGACAGTCTGCAATAGAGGAGCATCAATTGTTACCGTTTTCCATCCATGACCGTGTAGTGATTCACTCCAGACGAGGTGTTTCATCATAGGAAACTTCAAAACAAACTCCTCAGCACCGTCGTTCAGATACATGTGTCTGTCGTCGTCCAACTTGATGTGGACTGTCTCAGCATTCTCAAGCAATCGATGGCCATGTCTGCAAAATTTATCCAAACTGTCCGCCAGAAAGTTCAACAGCTGAATTTCCGAAGGCTTGAAAATCCACGTACTTGGAAGCATCAACAGGTTCACTAGTGATCGCCTCGAACCGGGTGGATTGTCGACGACAACGGTGTGATACTGCCGGGTACTGTTCCACAATGTTCGACCGTGACCGGTCATGTCGACGCCTATCCGAATGTAGCCTCTACGATGGATCATCGGCTCGGCGATATTGTGCCAGTGCCAGCAGACCAACGTGCAGTGCAGTAGATCGTTGAACGGAAGTAGCGACAGGATCTCCCGTAGCATTTCCTCCGGTAGAGTCGCAATAACATCCATCCAACCAATCTCTTTTGATCACTACCGACGTTGATCTTCACTACAGCACAGCAGAAGGATACTGAATGGTGTACTAAAATAGCCACATCCGACGCAAGGTAGCAGTCAATGATGTAAAAGCTCGTGTTTCATCGACGGCGTTGCGAGGTTTGCAAGATGAATACAAGCAATTTCCGATACTAGCGAGAAGCGCACGTTAAGCTTATAGATGTGCATAAGGAAATTCACATCATTCACAGGCGCACTGCGAATGTAATTCTTTCATCTGCTTTTTAATCGGAGTGCGAGAATGAACGAAGGCTATCTCTAACCTCCTAGGAAAAGTTAAAATGAAAGTGCGTGCTGGTACGGGATCAAATCTGTTGATTGATTTCCCTAATCGACATTATTCTTCGATTTTAAGCGAGAGTATATTGAACAAGCATGATCACACATGTTTTAATTTTGGATAGATCTCAGAGAAGAAAAAAAATCAAACTTTATGCGGTTTTTGCATTGGTTTATACAGGGTGTCTACTAATTTTGATAAATAAAATTCCCTGAGTTTACCAGATTTTTCTAGGACTTCAACGGCAAATTTCCAGGTTTAAAAAAAAATGCTATTTTGGGTAAAACAATAACTCAAGTGCCACAACCGTTTTTACATAAGGTGCATGCGCCGTTTTCGCTGGCAACACTTGAATTTCCTATGTCTCCAGTGGAAATTTTGACGTCGGAAGTCGCAACTCAGACCTACGAATTTTGGTTTACTGGAGTCGCGACAATAACTTAAATGTCAAAACAGTTTTAAAAGAACAGCTAATGAAAGTTAAAGTCTAACATCAATGTATTACCACAAACGAAGTGACAGACGGAGCGGCTCGAAAACTTTGGTGACTAATCTGCTATTTCAATTTTTCAGTGTACCACATGGCAACACTACTACTGGATTGTACTAGCATTTTCACCAAATGTATTAGAATGTTTTGGTTCTATCTCTTTCACTCAACTCTAAACTGAAATGCATAAAAAAATGACAAAATGATACGCACTCTTTGCACACTGTCAAAGAATCATTGTACACAAAATAAACTTTGTTCAAATCAAAACAAAAAAACTAACCCATCTGGTGGATGATGGCACAAGCTTCCAAGAAAATTCTATTACAGTGAACCACATTATTTTAATGGATTTCTTCGCCAGTTAGTCGTCTGTCACTTCGTTTGTGGTATTACCAACAATCAATACGAAACTAACGATTTTAAATTGGCTCACCACTTTAGTAGCCTATTGGTCACAAGCAAACGATTAATGTACCCTATTCTAGTTGAAATTCTATTACTACACTATGTTTGTTTTGATTCGCTATTAAAGTTTGACAGATAACATCAGGGGTGTGTGGATTCATGCAGAACTTGCAGGGGTGAGTGAAATAGCTTGGGACTGTTTGGGACCGTTGTTCTGGTACTGAGTGAGCCAAAAATAATAATGATTTTCTTCGGGACCCAGTGGTCTTAGAGTTACCTCTATGGTATTACCATAGAGGTAACTCTAATACTAGTAGGTCCCGAAGAAACGTGTTCAACTTTTTGGCTCAGCTCTGGTACTATCTTCGGTCCCAAGCTAATCGATTCACCCCTCGAAAAATGTGAAAAACCACGAACCCCTCATTTTATCTGTCAAACCTTCATAGAGAATCAAAACAAACATAGTGAAGTACTAGAATTTCGACTAGAATGGGATACGTTAATCGTTTGCTTGTGACCAATAGGCTAGTCAAGTAGTGAGCCAATTTCAAATCGATAGTTTCGTATTGACTGTTGGTATTACTGAAATTGAAATATTTTAACTTTTAACAGAAATGCTGGATCCTATTTGCTTCAAAAGATCTATTGGCGTTGACGGCGACTCTGTAGCTCTTTACTCCAATGGTAAAATCCATAAACAAACGTCAGACTGTGCGTGAAAGATGGCGGACTTTGTACTATCCTTTCACTCCACAGAAAATTCCCATAAGAAACTGTCAATCTTTGCTAGAAGAGACGATTTTTCGGGCCAATTAACTGACAAAACCGCAAGGCTGCAAAATGCGTGTAGATGCATGTTTACAGGGTTGGTTCTCGGCAATGCGACGATCAACTGTTATGATTCAGCCAGCATTCGAAAGGTATGGCTATTTATTTTCATTTGGAAACTCGATTGGACCTGTAGTTGGCCGACCGGAGCGGAAAAACCCGAAAAAGTTCCGAGAAAAATGCGTGTCGATTCATGTTGACAATAATTGTTCTCGGCAATTTCTTAGAGGAAGAGGTGACAATTGGCTTTTTCCTCTTTTATTTATATCTCTATCTCTATCTTTATCTCAGAATGATTACGGAATTTGATCTTGCTGTTGAGTGGAACCGCATGTAGGGCAAGACCCAAGCTAGGATGGTGGCTACTTACATGCATACATACATCTGTATCTCTACCTTTATCTATCTCTATCTCTATCTTACGCACATGAAATCGTCCAATCAGGAGCTGGTTCACGTTTGACAGAAAAGTGGTTCATTTTCGCCCCGTATTGTCACTATAGTCGCTATATTCATAGTCTGGCGGATAGAATCTCGGGAACCAATTGAGCTGTCAAATAGCGGAACCAATTGAGCAAATCATGACCAACAACAGAAAAGAGCACATCAGCTATTGCGAACAAAACTTCGGAAACCCTTTCTCGTGACTCAAGGCTCGCCTACGCAAACTGACACCATCTTTGGGTTGGGGCAAGTTTCCCCTATCCGATGATGCTGGCAATTTGCGTTTGTTTGGCAAGGAAAGAATAATCAACGTTTTGTTTATAAATTTGATAGTACCCTTTCAATTGTTGGTCTAAAATATATTGAATTGGTTCCGCTTTTTGATAGATCGAAATTCTATTCGCCAGACTATGAATATAGCGACTATAATTGTCACCTCTTCTCTTAAGCTGGGTTTAGACAGGGCAAGTCAATTGATCAAGTCAGTTAAATTCAACTGACTTGAACGCGAATTGAACGTGTAAACCATACCATTCAACTGACCTGATCAACTCACTTGAATTGAAAAAAAGTTGAACCAGGCTCAACTTTTCAAGCCAATTGAATTCAACTGAGTTGATCATTTGACTTGCCTAGCTAACCCAGCTTTAGGGCAATTTGTTAACCAAACTCTCGTGCAACACGAGAAAAGAGCCTATCATTGTTGATCGATTCTTTTCATCGATTTTCTCTTTCGCGACCAACCCGACTGCAAATGAATTTCCCATTCAGTGTTTTGTTTTAGGTGCAAGCTAACATCATCTTCTGTTGAACTGTGCTGCGAGCTTAGCGAGAAATTCGTTTATGTTGTTGTGGTAAACCAAAGAGAAAGTCGATGAAGAGAATCGATCAACGTGGATAGGCCCATTTCTCGTGTTGCACTAGAATTTTAAGATTGAGCCTGTACCAAACCACCGTCCTCTGTTCGAACGAAACCTCAGACCATTCAAATCGAAACATCGAAATCGCCTTTTCGAATAATAGCTGCAACCGGATGACGGTTGTTTTGAAATCAGATGATTTTCCTCTCATATACAGGATGAACATTGTTATGAAAAGGTATAGGGCCTTCAGTTGGAATGCGTAATGCTCTCTGCAGAATGATAGTCATCTTAAATTGAAATGTATATGGTATTGGTTCAGCCCCTTAACGCAAATCATTCAAATCGATGATGTAAATAATTCTATCGAACGTTATTTGCTGCTCTGAGTAGTCAAACGAGGTGGAAGCATAGCCATCGTGATCAGAGGTGGTACGAACATTTGTAAAGTTCAGAAGCCATAAATTAATTATATGATTTGAGTAGTAGCTATACTGAAGATCCGAGAGATGTCACCCCTTCAGTGGTAGGAAAATCATTTTTGCAGTATGGAGAATATCAGAAAATCCACGAGTGTTTACCTTATCACCATAGTAATGTTCTCGTGCAATTTTTGTGCATCTAAATCTGCTCATAAAGACGATAATGAATAAAAACTGAATGGTTTCCTACAATTCCCATACATTCGAAAGTGACTGGCCCTCTGGATGTGGATGATGTCAAAAACAACAAAACATGATTGATTGTCTATTTCGTGGTGGAGGAAGTTTCCTCTACCAACACCAACGAGTAATTTTTGTATTCATGATGAATGGTTGTTCATGGCTATTCAATATGGAAATGTAAACAATCGAATGCTCAGATGCTCATCAGTTGATGACGAATTCAACCATAAGGAAATCATCTGAAATTCGACAGTATATTGTTGAAGGGCTCGAGCAATACAATAATCAGTCGAAGTATAGCGGATGTTTTCGTTCAGTGTAGTGGCTATCTACTTCAAGCTGAACATTGCATTAGGTACTAAGTAACATTGAACGATTCTCTTCGTCAACTTTCTCTTTCGTTAATAACTTGAGCACAGAACCGTTTCTTGATGTGTTTGTCATATTAGATACTAGATAAAAGCTTCTTTTATCGATCTTTGTGCTGAAAATATCTGGGAATGTCTTTACATGGCCGTGGGGATGCAAAGAGAAAGTCGACGAAGAAAATCTGTCAATGTTAATTAGGACCTTATGCAATGTTCAGCTTGAACGGACAGAAAATCTATTGGACCTGCGGTTGGCCAGTCGGAACGGGAAAGGTGGCTCTGTGGAAATTCAAATTCAACGGGAAAATGGTCAATTCATAAAAGTAGGGTTACTTCCACTCACTCGCTATAAAAAAATGTTTTTCGGAATTATGAAATCATGAGATGGTATAATGATTATTAGAATTTGTAAGTCACAAGAAGAGGTCTTGAAGTATGTGTTTGACACACCACATTGGTCATGACGAGAGGAACAACACAATAGTTGGGTAAAGAAGAATAGCAGTATAACACACCATCGACTGGAAACAGGGTTACTTCCACTCATAATTCCGAAAAACATTTTTTTTTATTGCAAGTGAGTGGAAGTAACCCTGCTTGTAAGTTACAAGATGAGGACGTGAACTATGTGTTTGATACATAAAATCTGTCAATATTGCTTTCAGTGCGTCACAATCAGCAATTTTACGACTCGTGAGTGCTCACTCTGAGTGAACGCTCACGAATCATAAGATCGCTTATTGTAACGCTCTGAAAGCAAAATTTACCGGTTTTATGAGTCAAACACATACTTTCAACCCTCTTCTCGTTACTTACAAGCAGAGCGTAAAATTATTAACTGCCTAGGCTGAGTGTGAAAGCACTGCACTATTCAATCCATTGCTCTGTGCAGACCGTTTGTACCAAACGGTAAAGGACGAGGCAATGAAAGAGCCGACAAAAACATTCAGTCACTCATGAGCAGGTGACGCACACCGCTTGCCTTCGCTCACACAGCCATTTTTCCATAGAAAATGTACGCTCAGTCATTCAAAAAAAAATGGGTACCATCACGGCAGAATAAACGTGTTGACTGAGCTACCGACTGAGTGCTCGGCTGTCAGTGACTCGTTTACCTCTCAATCATTCAGACTCTCACGAGGCAGTGAATGATGAGGCAGATGGTAGTTCATATTCATATCAAAACGACTCAATGAACCTGACTGTTTTGCGCACTGCTTACAAGTACAGCATATCATTATATCATCTAATGATTGCATAATTCAAAAAAATATGTTTTTATAGCAAGTGAGTGAAAGCAACCCTGCTTCCACTCACTTTGCTTTAATTTTTTTTTTTCGAAATTATGGAATCATTGGATTCTATAATAATATTTTGTACTTGTCAGATACAAGAAGAGGTTGGGAAGTATGTATTTGACACATAAAACCTGTCAATTAAGCTTCCTGTGCATACGCAAGAAATTCTCTACAGAACGCTATTTAATTCCGTCTGCAATTATCATAAGATTCTTAACAATTCTCGCTGCATTATCGTATTCACTAATTATTCTTCTAAAATTCCAATGGAATAATCTTCGGCATTCCCTCTATATTTCACTCAGAATTCTATTGGAGTGGTTCCGTTCTCTACGAACTCTTTTTTGAATTCCCCAAAGGTAACTACAGGAACATCATTGAAATTCTCCATAGTATTCCTTTGAAAAACTTCGTTGGGAATTTCCTTTAAACTTTCATGAAAACTTCTTTGAAATACTTCTAAGAATACTTTTGGAATTATCCTTTGGAATTATTGTCATTGAATTAATTTTGGAATTCCCTTTGGACACTCATTCTTCTCAGTTCTCCTTGCAAATCCTTTAGAAAAGTCTCCTCAAAATTACTTTGTAGTTTTAGTCATAACTCTCTTTAAATTCTCTTTGGAATTATATCTACAGAATGCTCTTGTACTTTGAATTCTACTCAGGATTTTCTTGTAATCCTACTCAGAAATACCTTGGAATTCTTCGTACGTTTCACTTTGGAGTCTGGAGTTTCTCAGAACTTATTTGAAAAGATTCCTCAGAATTAACTTTCCAAAAAATCCATCCTTGGAAATTTTCCTCTGAATTCCCTTGAAATTATTACTAGACATCCTAGAAAATTTTGATCAAATTTATTCAAGTTTTGAAACTTATGCATGGCCCTTAATTTATTTGAAATCTGGGTTCTTAAAATTTAATCTTTGTACGTCCCAAGAAACAATTTTTATCTGTAGAAACGCCTTCATGATAATTTAATTAAGTTGCATACTGAATAATAGCTGCACTATTTTTTGTCACCACTTCATTTCAAGCTTTGTCACACAAATCTGGAGAATCTATTCAACTAAAAATTAAACTGATGAGCGTTGTATCATTTGAAACTTATGTTCTGCCCGACAACAACTCAGCAGCACGAGACTCCTTGAACTGTGTCTCAGAGTCGGCGCACTACTGGGCAAACTGGAGGGGCTACGCGGATGAAAAGGCACTCAAGCCTTCAATTAAACTGAAACACAACGCGGATCAATTTAAACACTGTATTTCTCCAATTACCGATAGTGGGGATTGCGTGGTGTTGTGTTCGATTTTCTTGGCACATACCTTTGATGACGATGGCGACTACGACGACTGCAGACCAGCGAGCGCTCGCTGTGGTTCCGGAAAGATCCTTAAAGGCCGATCTTGTCGGCAAGATGGCGGTACCACCGCTCGGTGAAATTCTGGTACAATTCCGACAATGGCGGACGAAGCGAGGCTGACCGAACGTCGGCTGTATTGAGTCAAGTTTTTCTAAGAGTTACGTCTGTTTGTCTGTGGCTGTATCGTCTGCCCAGTGGGTTTCACCGCAAGTGTTACACAAATTTATTTGAATGCTCGATCACATGGTGCATATTTAAAATATTGTATTGAACCTTTGTAACAAAACGGTTACACATTTCGACTATTTTTTAGCTGGTTCAGCTTTTATTAAACTTCACTGCTGATTGGCCCTCTTCGTTGCATACGCTTGTCATGAAAGCGAAATTAGTCAGCCACATCTGATTTTTTTTTAAAGGCTCTTGTATTCTTAAACGCTGTTTTACAACTGTTTAACTGAGTATGAACTTCAAAGGCGCTTATTCCAGCTTTAATCAGCTGCCAGATAATCACTATACAGCTTTGTGATGGGTGCCTAGCAAAATATTGTTTACATCCTGGTACATACACATGGCAAGTTGTTTCATTTTACTCCACACTCCATATCTCCTGTATTTATTTATTATGTTACGACTAACCTTTATCTAAGGTATTTATCATAACTTTACTAGCAAATTATTACCTGACTGGAAGGTGGACTCGAACTCGTACCAACTTCGCTACACCAACACTTAGAACTGGTACGGAAATGCCACATGTCGTTCTACAACAATATCGTTGATTAGAAGCTTTATAATGGTGTCTACACAACTCTTTTTCGACTGTTTTATTCAGCATTTTGCAAGAAACCAAGTTATAGCCTTTAAATCGCTACAAGGCACACGTCATAAAACAATTTACGATTACATAATATAGTATAATATAGGCGAGTTCAATTCCCGGTCTGGTCGAGGGAATCTTTCGGGTAGGAAGTTTTCTCGACTTCCCTGGGCATAGAGTATCATTGTGCTTGCCTCGGTGCTTGCCACACAATATACAAATTCATGCATTGGTATTGGCTTCGATAGCTCTCAATTAATAACTGTGGAAGTGCATTTAGAACACTAAGTTGAGAGCACGCAATAAACTAATATGCGCTAAGCAATAAGCTTGGAATGCGAATAAGAAGAAGAAGAAGATATGTAGTTATTATTTTCCAAAATCTTCCTTTATTCACTCTATTTCAGCAATTCTGGGTACATATCCTATTAAATCAACAAATAATTGAACCACTTAATCACTGCACTATACGACAAATTCGGTATCGTTCTTATCTCGGCGGTCATAATTCCACAGCACAGAAAGTAACTTAATCGTCTACGAAAAATCGATTATAAAGCGATAGTTTCCAGATCTTCGGCACCTTAAACAAAGTAGGGCTTTTTGCGGAACTAACCTAATTTAATTACTATGAAGGAGGTTCTTCAATAAACAATTATGCCATTGTATTATTAGGCTGATTCTCTGTTGTCTAATAATAGATTTGTGCAACGTTTATTAAGCATTTACATACTAAGCACACTATTCAACCATGTTCGCATAGTGGAATAGAAGTTCAAAAGTTGACTATCAAGGAATCTAGTACAATCGAACAATGCAACTAGGAACATTTATTAGGCATCTAATAAGCAAGTTATTTGAGCAACTGCAGCAAGTCAAATGGAAGCGTCGATTTGGGTGGAAGTTGCACATATTCATCTTATTATTAGACAAATCTTCTATCATCGAGTCAGGCAGTTAGAAAACGTTTGTAAAGAGTTTAATAAGCATACTATTCAGATAAAAATTAAAAGTGGAACCAAACCGTATCTTTTGATCAAAATTAGTTTTGTTCGGTACATTATTCGATGTACACTGTTGTTCAGCATTTATTCAATAGATATGCTTATTTGCAGCTTTGTATTGTTTGTTGGGGTTGTCTTGAATATTTATTTTCGTTCTATATTCTTGAAAATGTCTCCAAGCTTGATTTCATTGGACCCAAGATTTCAAAAAATAGTCTATGTTTAAAATCTGTAGAAATTTTACAAGTTCCAGAAGTTAAAAAAAAACAGAATTGCAGTCTAAGAATGTATGTTGTTACTGAAGATAAATCCACTCCAGAATTATTTTGTCCAAAGAGTAAAAGTAAACGAGGAAGATAAAGGTGGTTGCATTATAAAATATTTTTAAATTCCTAAGAAGGTTCTCTTGCGTACTTCAATATTAGCTTGAAAAAGGAATTCGAAAATTCCCTGAGAATTCCAGGTTTTTCTAGGTTAAATAAAAACCCCTTTTTTTTTGTTAAACTATGTTTAGCTAAAACTTCATGAAAACGTTATTCAATCGAGACATCCTGTTATGTTTTTACCCTTCTTACAAAGAAGAGTATATGTACCACTTAACAGCTTATGAAAATGCAAACTTTTTAAATTTTGAAACTTTGAACACTCAAAAATTGACAACAATCAGAGCAAAAACCGAGGAAAAACTTTGACCAAAACATCAAAACATTGAACATCATCAAATTGTTAATAGAGAAAGTTGTAAACCTTAAATTAGGGATCCTGTTTCATTCTAAATACTTTGTGGGTTCGAATCACACCAAAACAATTTATTATTTATATTTAATTATTCTAGCAATCGTTTGAAACAAGCTTACACTCGGGGTGGTAAACAACTTGCCATTGCTACGACTGCATTGACGCGAATGAATTCACTACCTTTTACGCACACTACAAAAGAGAATGAACCGCTACACCTCCGCACACCGGCCACCACACAGCCCGCACCAACTGCAACGGTATTTAAAGGTCCAATCAGCTGATTTTGACTGCAACATGTATGCGTACGAGTGAATGCTGCAGTAATTAGATTACTGTTGACGTTTCAGTTTCCAAAGCTCCAAAATTTAATCGTAAAAAAGTCGCTAAAATTCTCATTTCTTACTAATTCTGAAGTTGAACGAAACGGTGCACCATGCTCGAACATTATGTCCTTCGATAGCCTTCCACTGGAAATCGTGCAGCTCATATTCGATTGGCTACCGTTTCGGGATCTGCTCAGTGCCAGTCTGGTGTGTCAGAGTTGGTACTATGCCACCGAGAACCCACTCACCAGAAGAAGCTGGCTTGCGATTCACCTGGACCGGACCAATGATCTCACCGAGCTGGCATGGAACCGTCGAAGTCACAGAAACGTCCTTCTCACCATGGTCCATTCGTGGGAACAGCTGAAGCCAACGATGGACGTTTGTAGTGAAAAGGTTAACCTCCGGCGGTTGAGCATCACCCGAGCTTGGATAGATTATGTGTGCCAGTTTTTCCTGCTCTACGCTGATTGGTTGGATAGAGTCGAAGAGGTTCACATCTCGCTCGATCATCGCTTCTTTCGGAATGACACCTGCAGTGGAAAGACCTACGTGATACGATTACCCACGGCTAGATGCTTGCACTGGAGTGAAATTCACATACGAAGAGGCAACAGGACCATCACTGTCAATGGACCCCGTTTGAAACGGGTATCCATTAGCGACAGCTTCGCCAGCAAACTCATTCTAATACTGCCCGACTGTGATGCTTTAGAATCGTTGGAGTGCACTTTATACAGGAAAAACTTTACCGAACTATACAGAGCATCTTTCGAACACTTGACAACGCTTATTTTGCGAATATACTATACGGTTCAAAATGTTAAGTTTTTATACTCTTTACCTAGGCTAAAATGGTTAACGTTGCTGGTCGAGTTGGAGAAGGAACTACTGGAGTCACTTTTCGTCGATACTATGGATGCGATCACCGGATGCAAGCTCCTGGAAGGGTTGCAGTTAGTGCTGATGGGTGACACCGCACCGTGCAGTGTAGACCTTAACCGACTTGCTGAATCACTGCCTCTCCTGGAGCAACTGGAGCTGAACAATGTGTACTTAAGCCCGGGATGGAAGCCGACAGCTTTTCAACGATTAACCCTCCTAAAACTAGTCAACGTAGATTTGAGGGAAGAAACCGATATTCTTGCAATGCACTACCCAGCTTTGCGAACAATTTCCCTCAATGCTAAACTGCTTTCCCGAATAAGTCTTCAAGCTGGACCAAATAATAAGCTACTTTTTGTAAACGTAGAATCGCTTAACCTGGCAGAAGCGCTGGATTCGTACTTGAGCCCTTTTTTGAAACAATCCAGCAACATGGTCCGGGAGCTGATACTGTTTAAGCCTGACTGCTACGATACCGTTGTGGATTCTAGTTGCCCGCTAAGTGGTTTACACAACGTGGAACGACTCCATTTAATCAATATGGCAATTTCTTTAGAAAGCCTTAAGCTCATTGCGGAATCCAACCATCTGAAAGTGAGTGGACGAAACCTGCTATGGATTCGTAAATAATAATTCCCTTGTACAATTTCAGCATCTCACCCTGTCCAAATGCCTGATCGGAACCAAAGACGCCGACGAAATGGTGATCCTCGACCATTTAAATCAGCTAACCGTCAGCCAAGTGCAGTTGGTCAATCAACATCAGAAGCGCTTTCCTTTGGCGACGAGCACCGGGGAGGATCTGGTGGGGGAAAAACGGTACGGGTCAATCGTTTTCGATTCAAATGGCGCAAATGACGAATTGGTGCGGAAATACTCGCTTGGAAATAAAAGAATTTGCCCTATGTAATCGGTATTTGCTGACTGTTTCATTGAGGGTTTTTGAGGATTGATTTTCTACTTGAGTGATTCCGTTAGAGCTGGAACTGCTACGGTTTTGGTTATTGAGAGTTTTCCAACACAGTTCCATAATACGAGTTTTGTTTGCATATGTTAATGCTGCAGTATTGTGCCAGATAAGTGTCGTTTAACTGAAATTGTGTATGTACCACTTAGCGAACTTGCTAGTGAAATCGTCTAGAGAATATGTATTGGGTGAACTTTTTACGCCGTTTTAGTATTGGATAAAATGAGCCGAAAGGTGTCAGAATGTTATGAAATTTTATTCACACGTAGAGCACAGACAAACAGACATAGCACCCACAATCACATTATTCACAAATAAGGTTTTAGTTGGGAATGTGCTCGCATTTGTCATGGTGGTGCCACTGAAGCGTTAAGCAAGCCACTACATTTCGAACTTATCAGTGATGCCAGTTCTTTTTCAGGTCATTTTAATAGATGTCAGCTCTTGAGAATAATAAGGGGACCAACCTGCATAAACGCGAACCATAACTTGACCTTAACGAAAATGGTTAAAAATTGTTTATAATCCCTGCTAAACTTAAACTGAAATGGTTATGGAACTTTACATGAATGTTTGTGTGATAAAGTTTTAACCTTATGTATTATGGTTTTTTTGGAAGTGACCCCTACAAAAAATAGGTTCTTAAGAACCATTACCATTCAAAATTCTTGTTTGTCCATACATTTTCGGAACGAAAACTATATTAGAACCTTTTGACGTAGGACTACGTCTTTAATTTCTATACTGGGGGTGAGGGGGGCGACACATCTAAATCTCAAGTTAAGATGCTCAACAAATCTCACACTAGCGAATCAATCTTCGAAAAATCTTCTTTCATTTGTCGTATCTACTTGCTTCGTGCATCATCTTTTTGCAGGAATTCTTCAGAATCGTCATCAATCTTCTTTTTATCTACTCAGCGTGCGCGCAGCTAGCCTCAGCAAAACATAATCTTTTCTGCATCGTAGATAGAGTCGCCCCCCTCGACTGGGGGTCACATTAAAAAAAAATCAAAATTCATACATGTAACGAAAAATCCCAAACACGGACGTAACGATAAAGAGCAAATAGAATGCTTAGTTGACCGCTCACCATTTCACCAATCAAAGAAAGGGAGGAGATAAGCAGCTGTAATAGAAACGCTTGCCAAATCGTTTTCTTCGTCATTTACTTTCGAGCAACGGACGGATATAAGTCAAGTTGATCGTCAAGCAGTTCAGTTCGGTGTTAGCTCGCTCTCTCGAGTTGTTCGGAAAGTTCGTTGCCATAGTGTTCGCGCTCTCTCTTTCGCGGTTTTTTGTGTGCATACCTTGAAATGGGTGAACGAAGCTCGGGTGTACCTACAGCAAACAGGTTTGCTGTTCTTCCCTTCGATGGGAATACCCAACCAGCTGTAATGGAAAAGCGCAGTAAAAAGAGGAAGAAGAATCGAGGCCAGTCCGATGGCACGATTGGTCGCGACGATGTTACCACGACAAACGTCAGCGATATCGGCGATTTCGGTATCGCTGATGAAACCGAAAATGCCAGCCCAAGTACGGCAAATGTCAAACTTCCACCGTTAGTAGTGAAAAATGCACCTCTAAACATGCTCATCGCTAGCTTTTTTTTTAGTAGTAAAATTTACGTTTATTTTCTATTTTTTATGTTTCAACATTTGGTTCAACATTTCAATTGATTAGCCTTTGGCTCTTCATCTTTGTTCTAGTTAATTGGTTATTCTAATGTGATGATTGCGTTTAGCGCTAATTTACAGAATACCCTTTATGGGATTGTTAAGGTTTGAATTAAAAAAATTGATAACCTACCTACTTGAGCACAGGAACCTGCCTAACTACTTAAACAAGGTTGCCAAATCACGAATGATCTGGTGGTTTGATCGCAGACAACCTTTCCAGCGTGGAAGTCTTTCGCTCCTCGAGTGTTTGAAGACCGACCAGGTGGTGAATCTCAGAATTACGAGTTCCCGGAGGACTGCTAACGATCATTCTGAGGATCTTGTTTTGGATCCTCTGAAGCTTTAGGTGGTGGCACTTAGCACAACTCTTCCAGATTGGCATGCCATACTCAATAGCCGACAGAATGATCTGCTTGTGGACAGCAAGCTTGTTTTTGAGGGTGGACTTCCTGTTTATCAGAGGGTAGAGCGACCTGATCAAGATGTTACACTTGGTGGATGTCTTGTCCACATGGAATCGGAATAGCAATTTGCTATCGAGGGTGAGACCAAGGTAGACTACTTCACTCGACCATTCAATAGGAGTGCTATCAACATGGACCTTGACGTTAGCAGGCGGAACAAGCCGAGGTAAATTCGAGTGTGGAAACAGAATGGTTTGTGTTTTGGATCCTCTGAAGCTTTAGGTGGTGGCACTTAGCACAACTCTTCCAGATTGGCATGCCATACTCAATAGCCGACAGAATGATCTGCTTGTGGACAGCAAGCTTGTTTTTGAGGGTGGACTTCCTGTTTATCAGAGGGTAGAGCGACCTGATCAAGATGTTACACTTGGTGGATGTCTTGTCCACATGGAATCGGAATAGCAATTTGCTATCGAGGGTGAGACCAAGGTAGACTACTTCACTCGACCATTCAATAGGAGTGCTATCAACATGGACCTTGACGTTAGCAGGCGGAACAAGCCGAGGTAAATTCGAGTGTGGAAACAGAATGGTTTGTGTTTTAGCTGCATTGATACAAATTATTATTATTATTATTATCTCTATTTAGGAGATTTTCAGCCAAAGGCAATTGATACAAATCTCCCAGCTCTTGAAATAGTCGGACAGAACATCCAGGCCTGATTGTAGTTTACTCGCCAGAGCACGGATCACTCGACCCTTATAGATGATGGAGGTGTCATCTGCGAAAATTGACAGGATAACACCACCCGGCAGGAGAGGAACGTCTGACGTGAAGATGTTGAACAGGATAGGCCCAAGCAGGCTAAAGGGCGAACACGAAATTATTGCAACACATTCAACAGGGCATAACTTTTTTTACCATTGGGTAAAAATCAACCAAATTTTGCACACTTTCTCATTGATGTGTATTGTGTACATGCTGTCAAACTCGAAGTCGTGTTTTTCGATTCAACGAAAATGGAGGTGAACCAACGCGAGTTGAGAGAACAAATTCTTTCCAAACACCTGGAATTTCCTGACCTGTCGCACCGGCAGTTGGGAAAAATGTTGAACATTCACCATTCAACCGTCTCCAGAGTGTTGAAGCGGTTCCAGGAGCGGTTGACGTTGGACCACGGCAAAGGAGCTGGAAGAAAACCGGGACCGGAGAACAAAAAGACGGAGGGAAAGGTGAAGCGGATGATTAAAGCAAATCCCAACGTCTCAAGCCGTGATTTGGCTAAAAAGATCGGCATGTCGCAGAGCTACGTCCAGAATGCAAAGAAGAGAGCTGGACTACATACATACAAGGTACAGAACTTCCCAAACCGCGATGAGCGGCAACAATCGACGGCTAAAACTCGGGCACGGAAGCTCTACGAGAAGATGCTGACAAAATATGGCTGCTGTGTGATGGACGACGAAACGTATATAAAAGCCGATTTTAAGCAAATTCCGGGGTTGGAGTTTTTCACCGGCAAGAGCAAGTTCGATGTGGACGACAAATTTAAGAAGAAGAAAATGTCGAAGTTCGCCTCCAAATATCTCATTTGGCAGGCCATCTGCTCTTGCGGACTAAGGAGTGAGCCTTTCGTGACAAAGGGCACAGTAAATGGCGAGATCTACAAATCTGAGTGCCTCGAGAAGCGCCTTTTGCCGTTCTTGCAGCAGCACGACGAAGCTCCGCTATTTTGGCCAGATTTGGCATCATGCCACTATTCTAAAAGTGTCCTGGAGTGGTATGAGGCCAATTCTGTCCATTTTGTTCCAAAGGACATGAATCCGCCAAACTGTCCGGAGCTGCGCCCGGTGGAGCAGTACTGGGCAATAATGAAGCGGGAACTTCGGAAGAGCAAGAAGACAGTCAAAGACGAGAAGGACATGTTAAGAAAATGGAAAAAAAAAAAACTGAGAAACTGGTACCGGATGACACTGTAAAGACTTTGATGGAGGGCATCAAGCGATAATGCGTTCAATTTTACACTCAAGGCTCCATCGATTAACTTTTCTTTTGATTTTTGAAGTAAATATATGTATAAAACTACCCTAAAATTTAGGTTTGATTCTAAACATTATAAGAAAATTGGCATGACATTTTCGGTGTCGCAATAATTTCGTGTTCGCCCTTTACCCTGTATCAACGTTGAACGTATCAGAGGGAACATTGTTCAAGTAGACCTGGAATGATCTGCCCGACAAGTAGTTTTTGATAATCTTCACGAGGTAGATCGGAAAGTTGTATCGATGCAGCTTGTACACTAGACCATCATGCCATACATTGTCGAACGCCTTCTCGACATCCAACAATGCCATGGTAGATGTATTGGAAATGGACTTATTCCGCTTGATGATGTTAGTAACCCGTGCGAGTTGGTGGATGGTAGAGTGGCCTTTCCTAAACCCGAATTGCACTGGTAGAATCTTTGCCAGGCTTGTGTATTGGAATCAATTAGGCTAACTTCCAGCATGCAGGGAAGTAGCCAAGCTCCAAACATTTGTTGAAGATAAGGGTAAGATGGTTGAAGAAGTCAATATGTACTCAAGTGTTTCAACTTGAGGTTGACTACACCATCCATACCCGCAGCCTTCATGGTTTTAGTGCTTCTAACAGCTGCATCACCTCATCAGCCGATATTCTACTATCATCATGCACTACTACGGGGGTGTCAGCGACTCTAGACATTGCCTCCAGTACGGCAGGCCCATGGGGGGTTTGGCCAAGATTATGTGAAATCACAAAATGTTGGCCAAGAGCATTGGCCTTTTCAACTGGGGTTATGAGTAGTGGACCCATCCCTAGTACTGGTCAACAGAGGAAAGCGGAGGGATCGGTCTCGACTTATTTTTCAAAATTTTGGTCATCTTCCAAACTGGTTTTGCACAATCTGGGAGAGAGCGAATCTTGTTGGCAAAATCGTTATTTCTGAGTTGCACCATCCTGGCGTGGATAATTTTGGTTAGCCTATTGACATTGGTCTTCAAGTGGGGCAGCCCAGAACGCTGGAACTGCCTACGAATGGTGTTACGGAGCCTGATATAATCTTCGGTTGGGCTGTCAAGGTTCAGAGTATGACTCACCTGTCTGGATGCTGGTACGTGTTGCTCCCTGGCACGGGATATCGCCTCTTCGATGGTTTGCACAGACACTGATCGACTTCTTCGAACGACTCCGGTAGGACGTCGTAGTCAATTGCTGTGTCCACACAGCGCTGATCGAGGGGGACAACTCTATCTACGATGTAGGAAATATTGTGTTTGCTGTGGCTAGAAAGAAGATTTATCACGATTTTGAAGATTTCCTGCAAAAAGATGATGCGCGATGCAAGTAGATGCGAGAAATGAAAGAAGATTTTTCGAAGATTTATTCGCTAGTCTGAGATTTTTTGAGCATCTACAATTGAGATTTAGATGTGTCGCCCCCTTCGGCGCTGATACCAACAATCAATTCGAAACTAACGATTTTAAATTGGCTCACTACTTGACTAGCCTATTGGTCCCAAGCAAATCGATTAACGTACTCCATTCTAGTATATATTCCAGTACTACACTATGTTTGTTTTGATTCGCTATGAAAGTTTGGCAGATAAAATGAGGGGTTCGTGGATTTTCCTATGTTTAGAAGGATGCATCGATTAGCTTGGGACCGATGATAGTACCAGAGCTGAGCCAAAAAGTTGAGCACGTTATTTCGGGACCTTCTAGTCTTAGAGTTACCTCTATGGTAGAATCGAAACAAAGGTGATGCTCCGTACGAAAGCGGAATACGAGCTGGCCACATCTTACCTGAAGAAGTTCAAGGCGGAATTCTTCACTCACGATATCCCAGGCGAGAAACCCTTCAAAGTGGTCATCCGAGGTTTACCCAGCTTTGACCTGAAGTTAATCTAAGCGGAAATCAAGGACCGCTACAAGCTAGCCCCAACTGCCGTTTTCGGATGACAAGGACGGACGGGAACGTCAAGCAGTATCCGGATTGCCTTTTCCTGGTGCATTTCCAGAAGGGAACTGTGGCCATCCGCTCCATCAATTTCATCATTGTCCGATGAGAGCCATACCGTGGCGGCCGTCACGACGTCACCCGGCACCCGAAACTGCTACATCAAGCCGCGTTGTGGCAAATGGGCTCAAAACCATATCTCCTCCGAGTGTGATGTCGACGAGTCGGAAACGGTCAAATGCGCCAACTGTGGTGGCACAGTTCCCCAAACGCAAAGATATCAAGCGGATCCGAAAGCAGGCGTCCACAAGAAACCAACCAGGGCAAAAGAAGGACAATACGCCGGCATTCAGAGTGGACGACTTCCCGCCTCTTCGTGCTACGCAACACGGTCAAGCAAATCCGCGGGTGCAATCCGGCCCTCTTCAAGAAACGTCCGGTGCTTCTGCTGAACAAAGCTCCCCATCCCCCCTCGATTCTGGAGACAACCATCAGCACAAAACGTAAATCCCGATTTCTTCTCTGCGGATGAGCTGATGAAGATTTTCGTCGACGTGACCGTCAGTGCTGCAGCAAGCCCGAACAGATCCAAGTGCTCGGTAAGTTTATTATTCAGTATGGCGTCTAAACCGATAACTGTCGTCACATGGAACGCTTGCTCTATAAGAGCAAAAAGGCTCGAGCTTGCTGACTTCCTCCGCAAGCACATAGTATCGACGTGGGCCTTCTAACAGAGACCCATCTCAAATCCGGTGACAGCTTTTGGTTTGATCACCACATTATCCGGATTGATCGTATCATCATCAAGAAAGAAATCAAGTTCTGTCCGCTGCCCCAAATCTGCACTTTTATCAACAATCAATACGAAACTAACGATTTTAAATTGGCCCACTACTTGACTAGCCTATTGGTCCCAAGCAAACGATTAACGTACCAACAATCAATACGAAACTAACGATTTTAAATTGGCTCACCACTTTAGTAGCCTATTGGTCCCAAGCAAACGATTAACGTAGCCAATTCTAGTCGGAATTCTAGTACTACACTATGTTTGTTTTGATTCGCTATGAGAGTTTGACAGATAAAATGAGGGGTTAGTGGATTTTCGAGGGGTGAATCGATTAGCTTGGGACCGAAGAGAGTACCAGAGCTGAGCCAAAACATAGAGGTAACTCTAAGACCAGAAGGTCCCGAAGAAACGAGCTCAACTTTTTGGCTCAGCTCTGGTACTTTCTTCGGTCCCAAGCTAATCGATTCACCCCTCGAAACATAGGAAAATCCACTAACCCCTCATTTTATCTGTCAAACTTTCATAGCGAATCAAAACAAACATAGTGTAGTACTGGAATTAATACTAGATTGGGGTACGTTAGTCGATTTGCTTGGGATCAATAGGCTAGTCTTGTAGTGAGCCAATTTAAAATCGTTGGTTTCGTATTGATTGTTGGCTAAAAAGTTGAGCACGTTATTTCGGGACCTTCTAGTCTTAGAGTTACCTCTATGGTACCAGAGCTGAGCCAAAAAGTTGAGCACGTTTCTTCGGGACCTTCTAGTCTTAGAGTTACCTCTATGCTTCTATCATCGAGGCCCTTAGTGTGGAGGTGTAATCCTCAACTAGAAACGTCCGGTTCATCGCCGTATACTGCCCTCGTCAGTGTGCTGTCAGTAATGGATTAGGCATTCAATTTAAAAATGACCTGACCATGATCACTCGCACGAGCTCACGATTCGTCATGGCGGAACTATCAGCGGAATCAGAACGGACGTCTGCTCTTCAACCACTCGCAGCATGGGCTGTATACAGTGAAATTCCCGGATTAACCGACATTCATCTCTCCGGCGGGAAATCCTTCCACTCTAGACTTTTTCTATCGATCTTTGGACTATCCAAACCGATGGCGTAGTGGCTGTAGTCGGCATCAACGTGGCACCTGCTCAAAGCCTGCGCAAAGATTACCACCATGTCCACTGGGTACAGTTTGGGCATGTGGTTGACAGAGACATCAATGAAAATCCGCCGCTTGACACCGTAGAGGACATCGACCGGGTACTGGAAGGACTCCACCAGGCTATATCCGTGGCTGACGAGACGCGTGTGTTCGACAAGTTCCTGTGAGGGGTAAGTTTGTTGCCATTGATTCCCACACCCAATTACTGATTCGCTTGAGCAATGTGCGTAGACGCCAGTTTTAGAGGACTGGTGATCTGGTTAAAAACGTGTAATGGTCGATCTGAACAGGCAGATTGCTTCCAAAATGGACGCACTCCGAAATGAAAGTTTCGGGCGTGTTGTTCAGAATCTGGATGACCGCTCCCGTCCATTCTGGAAGGTAGCCAGGGTGCTGAAAACTCATCCTAAACCCGTTCCACCTCTCAGAGTCGGAAATGATGACGATCGGCTCATTATCCCACAAGAGAAAGCAAATGCGATTGGCAATCATATTGCTGCTTCGAATTTGCTTGGCTCAACTATCCGCTCGAAAACCAGGTGACGCAATGTAGATTACTCCCCTTGTGCCGTGCCTCCGGAGGATAGAATTACTGTAGAATCGATTTGCTCAGCGCTGAAATATTCAAAGGTTTTGACGGCATATTTAACCTAATCATAAAAAGGCTTAGCATGAAAGTCTATGCAGTTTTAACCGAGGGGGGCGACACATCTAAATCTCAATTTTAAATAACAGTGACAACTCTACTGATAACTACCCATGCGGGGCATGTCGCCCTTGGCCGATTTCGCCACCGCCTCACCACATTGCGGTCGAGCTGTATCAAAAAGCCAACGAATGTCATCAATTTAACGACAAATGAAAAATTCAGAATTCTTCCTAAAAAGTCTTATCAAACTTCAAAAATGCACACATAAAATACAATACGATGAAAACTGACTTATCATATGATTATGAAGTGTTAACCCCCCTTTTTTCACCAGAGCAGAAATGTGACGTAGTCCTCTGCGCTTTTGATGTTCTTCTCGTCCCACTTGAGGGTGCTAAAAACGTTGCCATCGGCCAGCGAAAGGATCATCTTGGTCGGCGGATTAAACACCGGAAACGACGTCACGTCCTTCGGAATCTTCACATTCTGCAGGAAAAAAAGTTGCTGGTCGGAGAAGTACACCGGCCTGTCGTCCGGCGTTACGTTCAGTGTGCCATCCTGCAGGACCAGTGTCTGAAATTCGCAATCTAGAATGAGAAGTGTGCACTTTACGAAATGAATCAACAATCTTACCCTCAGCTTGAGACACTTTCCCATCCCAACCAGGAAGTTGTAATCCAGATCGAAGTTCCGCAGATGCAGATAACGCAGGTGTATGAAACTTATGGCGAGCAAATGGCCATTGATACTCACGGTCGATTGCTTTTCGTGCAGGACCAACGTGAGCCGGGTGAGATTCGGGAACTGGTGGATACATTCGGTGATCATGAGCTGCCGGTTGTCGCAGGGCACGTCGATGTGCAGTATCATAACCGATGCAAACAGTCGCGGGTGGAAATAGTTGAGGTACAGACCGTACATGATCATGCATTTGACGCTGACTGGATTGGTCAGCTCAAATCCGAGCAGATTGAAGGCGGTCCCTTTGAGGGTGATCAGATGCGGAGCGTTGATCTCCAGTGGCCAACCGTCGCCCGTTTGAACGGTATCGTTAACGTCGAGCACCTGGAGGGCTGGGAAGGTCAGAATGTCCGCATTGTGCGTCCATTTGACGTCGAAGAGACGAAGTTGTTTGAGCTTCGGTAACGAATTTGCTATGATGTGCAGATTAATCAGGTTTGTCGTTTCCGTTTGGATTATGAGAGTTTCCAGATTTGGAAAGTGTTGCAAACTGGAGATCGATTCGTTGTTCACCGTACAGCCGCAGAGCTCGAGAACCGTCAGTCGAGGTAGACCAAATTGTTGTGGATCCCAGGAAAACGGTCTCATCGAATTGTAGATTCTCAAGCAATCGAGGACAAGCAGTCCATTGGGGCACATGGCGGGGATAAGCTTCGGCACGAAAATTCCGAGTGACTTCAGATTCGTCGTGTGCTCCAATACCAATGGCGTTCGGTCTGTATCTGCACATTCCACATACACATCCTCCAATGCCGGGGCATTCAATGTAAACTTTGGCAGAACCGGGCTGCCTCCTTCGGTGCCACAGGTCCACGATAGAACTCGCAATCGTGGCAAATCCAAATGATCATCTTCGCTGCCCGAATCGACCTGGTTGGTTAGTGTCACGGATAGATGAACCACACCCCGTAGCCAATTACGGTATTCTTTAACAAACTGAACCAGGGCGTAGGTCTGAATACCATCCAGAATTAACTTCCGGAGGAAGAACTTCTCCGCGCATATCTGCAGCCGCGGTTTCAGTACCGCGTACGCTTCACTAAATTCGATCGAAAAGCAACAGTAGCCCCTCTGGGTGCGTCGAAGAATCCTCTCACTGATGACCTGCTCACCGTAGGCCAAAATCAAATACGTCTCCCGCAGCGTCAGCCGGTTCCAGCGGCGGCTGATTGCGGTTTTCTGCAGCTGCTCGACCCCTGGGATGTAGTCGAAAATTTTCTGCAGTATTTCCGCCGGTAAAACGTCGAACGACATCTTGTGATTGCTTACAGTGGTGACTGTTTATGTTTATGTTTTTGTTTTGACTGATGTGCTGGCTGGGCGAAGGGTGCCTGCACTGTTGCCATATTTGATAGACGATCAGCTGTTGTGCGTAGTATTTTTGATTAATGAATGAAGCTTCATTTGTGTTTGTGCGATGGCGGACGAATGAATGGATGAATTTAAATTACCATGAACAGTAGTATCAGTGCTGCCAAATCAACCGGTTAATACTAGTCGCTTCGGGAGCTAAAAACATTGAAATGATCGTTCCGCCAAAGATGCGTTCGAAGTTTGTCTACAATCTCGATGGGAGGCTGATTCTCGTTGGTGATTATGGGGAATTTTTCCACCGTCATGGCCATGGACACTCGCTTTACGTTGAAATAGCTAAGATGCGACAGGTTTGCTTGGTCGCCGAGGACGGTCGATTCCGGGAAGAAGTTGCATTCTTCCAGCGATAGGTGCTGCAGGAAAATACACAGTGAAAAAGGGAAATTGTATCAGGAATCCAGCTTTCACGCTCGATAATGGCATGGTCTTAAAACGCATCCTATTTGACACTAAGTGCAGGTACGAATTTTCACTCTTGTCTTTACAGTACCGGTTTTTATTTCCACGAACAGAGGAAAATGAAATGACTTGCAATCCCAAATTATAGTGTCAAACACTAAAGCTAATGATGCAATTTAAGAACCTCGCAGGCCATCATTACCGAACATGGAAATCTGGATAGGTAAATTTTCAAGGATTTTTAAATTTATTTAAAAAAAAAGTCAACAAATACAAATAAATTGTAATTCTATACATCTATACATACAAAAATGAATTTCTGTCTGTCTGACCCTTATAGACTCGGAAACTATTGAACCGATGAGCGTGAAAATTTGTATGCAAGGGTTTTGGGGGTCGAGAAAGGTTCTTATGATGGTTCGAGCTCCTCCCCCCTTTGTAAGGGGGGGTCCCATACAAACTCAAGCTCATATTGAATTCCGAGCAAGGCCGGGCACACTCAGCTACTGATATACAAGATGGCATATTCAGCGGAATAAACTTACCTCCAACAATTGCATCTGTTCGATTTCCGCAAAAAACTGCATCGACAGCACGAAGTTATTCAAATGCAAACGCATAACGTGTCGAAAAATGACGGCTTCCGGTACCGCTATGGTGCATTCTTTGGAGCAAAGCTTCACAGACAGTTTGTGGACGTTGGGGAACAGCTGTATTTCCTCTACGACAGCTTCCTGATTGGGCGGTTCCCACGTGGTCAGATTCAGCTCTTTCACTGACGCAAAACAAGGATGCACGGTTGATAAACTGTGACCGAAAAGATTCAAGCGCGAAATCCGGGTACATTCGGAGAACTTTACAAAGTGAATCGTTTTTTTAGATATTTTAAGGGACTGTAGCACCGGAGTCCGTAGAACAAGGTACGGTTTGTCGAACACAAACCATTCGATGTCGAAGTTTAGGTATTTGAGAACAGGAAAACTCAAAACTTCTTCTGCCAAACGTACGGTCATGCTAAGTATGGTCAACCTTTCCAGACGTGGCAGACTGTCGGCTATCCTTCCCAAGCTTGCCGTATCGTTCGAACGTAGCGTCAAATCCGTCAGGTTCCTACAACTGCTTACCGCATCCAGAAGCTCTTCCAGTGCCTCGTCGTTGAAGTACCAGGCTGCATCTATCGTTAGTTTTGTAAGGAAAGCAGATCGAATTACGGTCCAATCAACTGTCGTATCGCACACATTCAGCAGTCGTAGTTCTCGAAGGTGTCATAAATTTTGCAAAACATCCATTGCAAACCGTCCATCATCGGTTAGATGTATTAGCAGACTTCGCACGGTACAGAACCATTCGAAATGTTCCTGAACAAATCGTTCCAACATTGCAGCAGTAACATATCCGAAGCGAAACTTTTGAACGGTGAATTTGCGTTCGCACTCTTTTACTGGTTTCTGGATGCACTGGTAGTCTTCATCGGTTTTCAGCGTTTCCACAGAGAAATTTTTGTAGTTTCGCAGGGACTGACTGATTGCTGAAATATGGTCTTTGCTTCTGTGACCAAGGCACGATAGCCGTAAAGTGGCCCATCGAGCTACGCGTCCATTCCAGGCACGGCAAACGGTGGCTGTTCTGAGCTGGTGTCCAAATGGCAGGAAATCGAAAATGCGATCCCAAATTTCGGGGGGAAGATGAACCGCGCCCATGGTGAGGCTGTGATGAACTGAAAGGAATGACCACTCTGTCACCTCACCAGTACTGTTACCCGAGCGTGAACGCGTGTTCTACTTCAGATTCAGTAGCAAGTGTTCCTCGTTCGTTTGACAACAATTCCTGTAAGCCGTATGACACCAAATAATGGACATCAATCAGCTTCCGTTGGAGGTCCTTCAAGAGATTCTGTCGTACCTTTCATATGACGAGCTTAAGGTCGCATCGTTGGTCTGCCACCGTTGGAATCAGGCATCCGGAACGTTCATCGTTCGTAATGGACAGCTTAGTATCCACGAGCAAGTGGTGAAAAATTTAGAAATGGTTCGTAATAGCACCCGTAACTATCAATCAATTCTCATCTATCGGATAAGCAAATGGGAACAGCTTCAGGCGGTGGTATCGGAATGCATGCAAAAGTTCCCGAATGTTCGGAAGCTGTATCTGGCTGGTGTGCTACAAGATTACCTCGATCGGTTCTATCGGGCATACCGGCGTTGGATGGAGCGACTCGAATTCTTGCAAGTTTCGTTGGACGATAGATTCGAAAACCTTTTTGTGTGCGAACCAGAGGATTACATTCTAACACTACCGAATCTGAAACAACTGTATTGGAAGGAATGCTTGTACGGCCATGGAGAAAAGACAGTCACGATTGATGCCCCCGGATTGGAATTCGTACACATCGATGACAGTTTAGACGCATCTGCCGTTTTGAGAATTCCTCACTGTGAGCGCTTAAAATACATCAGGTGCATGTTTTACACGAAGCACTTCGACGATATATTCGTTGGCGACTTTGGCAATGTGGAAACCCTCATTCTTAATATTGTTCATGACAAGTGTAATGTTAGCTGCCTCTCCAAAATGCATCAGTTGCGGTATCTATCATTGCACTTTGGTAATGCCATGAATTATTTGCAAGAAGTGGAAGCAATGCCAAATTCGAAACTGCTGAAGGTTTTGATTATCAGATCAGATAGCCGGAGTCTCGATAAATGCACGCTAAATCTGGAGAAAATCATCGGAAAGTTTGAGAATTTGGAGACACTTGACCTTTTTGGAATCAATCTTACAGCTAACAATGAGATTCAAGCTGACCAGTTGGTGTTTCTAAAACTAAGAGAAGTTACCTTTTCTAAAAACAGCATCTTAAACGCTCCCAAGCTCAAAACTCTATCACTGGAACTGGATATGCTGAATTATCTACAATTGCGCGAAAACAAACACCTGTTTGAACTCTATGTGGATTTGCAAGTTTCGATCTATAACGATTCGTTCGAACAGATCATTTGTACTTTCTTACAGGAACATAAACATATTAAAAATCTTACACTGGGGAGGGTAAGCTCCGGGGAGGTTCTAGTTCAAGATGATTTCATCTATGATCGCATAGTAGAGAGCGTAGAACATCTTGAGTTGCATCGGTTTGATGTTCCTATCAATTTTTTCCGCTTACTTGCGGGCTGGAAATCGCTCAAGGTTGATATAATGGTTGAATATCAGTAAGAATGAAATAAATAATAAAATATATACATTTCAGAGTCTCAAGCTTGTCGCTTGTACCATCAACTGTAGCGGAATGTGGAACGATGTTGTTCGATTGCCAGGAGTAGAACGGATAATTGTCGATTGCGTCCAACTGAGAGGCACATCGAGGACCGATTTTCCGATTCTGTTGGTCAACGGAGCCAATCAGGAGGTCGTTACCAAATGGAATGATTCGACCCTGTTCTTTAGTACGAATAAATTAATTCATAAGGAGTACAAATTCAGACAATTTTCTTGTCCTGAAATTGATCCAATGTTTTAGTCGGACGAATAAATAATTAACATTAAAGGTTTTTTGTTCAAATAAATAGGTTATCCTGCTTTTTTTTCTTTCGTGTGAACTACGGGTCAATTTCATCTGATATCTGACTACTCGCTAATGCTTTGAATTAGAGAACCGAACAGTCTACAGAATACCCCTTGGGGGGTGTGTTATGTTTGAATTGAAAAAAAAGTGATAACCTACGTATGATCTGATGAGTTGATCTCAGACAGGTGTCTCTGAACCTTTCCAGGATAAAAACTCTCCGTTCTTCTAATGTCTGAATTCCAGGCAGGAGGTGGATCTCAGAATTTCTAGTTCACGGGAGACTGTTTAGGATCATCAAAAGGATTTTGTTCTGGATCCTTTAGAGTTTGAGGTGATGGCATTTGGCGCAACTCTCCCAGATTGGCATACCGTACCCGATTACGGGAAGGATAATTTGTTTGTAGACAGCAAGCTTATTTTTCAGGGACAGGGTTGACCTCCTATTGATGAGTGGATACAGGGATCTTATCAGGATGTTGCACTTGGTTTTCGTTTTATCAACGTGCTCCCTGAAAAGAAGCTTGCTGTCTAGTGTTAGCCCGAGGTACACGACCTCTTTGGACCATTCCACCATTGTGCCGTTCAGGCCGATCTTATTATTTTCCGACGGAACAAGTCTGGGAGATTTAGGAGTGTGGAAAGATGATGACCTGGGTCTTTGCCGCGTTGATACGGATCTTCCAGCTGTTGAAATATTCAGACAGGACGTCCAGGCCTCTCTGAAGTGTGGCAGTCAGAGCTCCGATAACCCTACCCTTGTAGACGCTGGATGTGTCATCTGCGAACAGAGACAACGATCCACCATCAGGGAGAGCCGGCATATTGGAGGTGAACAGGTTGAATAAAATGAGGCCAAGGAAGCTTCCTTGTGGAATCCCGGCACTGATGTTGAAAGCATTCAATGTGATGCCAATCATAGAGACTCGGAACGTCCTGTCCGATAGATAGTTATTTATTATCTTCACTATGAAGATTGGAAGATCGTACTGCTGCAATTTGAACACCAGGCCATCATGCCAGACATTGTCGAACGCCTTTTCAACGTCCAACAACGCTATGGCAGATGTTTTCGAAACATACTAGTTCCGTCTAAGAATGTTTGTTACTCGCTCGGTTACTCGAGTCAGCTGGTGGACGGTCGAATGACCTTTCCGAAAACCAAACTGTTCCTCGAGTAACAAGTTGTTTTCTTCGGCACATGTTAGGAGCCGGTGATAGACTGCTCTTTCGAACAGTTTTGATAACCCTGAGGGAAGGCTGATTGGTCGATAACTTGAAGGTGAGGACGGATCCTTCCCAGGTTTCCGGATGGGTATGACTTTAGCTAACTGACAACACGAGGAGAAGTAGCCAAGTCGAAGGCACAGATTAAAAATCAGTGCCAGATGGTTGTAGAATGTGGAACTCAAGTGTTTTCTCAATCTCACACTAGCGAATCAATCTTCGAAAAATCTTCTTTCATTTGTCGCATCTACTTACATCGCTCATCATCTTTTAGCAGGAAATCTTCAGAATCGTCATCAATCTTCCACAGACAAACAGATATAACACTCACAAGTTGTTCATAGACCAAGAATTTAACAGTCAATTTAAAAGTATCTCAGTTGGTAGTACCAACAATCAATACGAAACTAACGATTTTAAATTGGCTCACCACTTTAGTAGCCTATTGGTCCCAAGCAAACGATTAACGTACCCTATGCTAGTCGAAATTCTAGTACTACACTATATTTGTTTTGATTCACTATGAAAGTTTGACAGATAAAATGAGGGATTAGTGGATTTTCCTATGTTTCGAGGGGTAAATCGATTAGCTTGGGACCGAAGATAGTACCAGAGCTGAGCCAAAAAGTTGAGCACGTTACCAACAATCAATACGAAACTAACGATTTTAAATTGGCTCACCACTTTAGTAGCCTATTGGTCCCAAGCAAACGATTAACGTACCCTATTCTAGTCGAAATTCTAGTACTACGCAATGTTTGTTTTGATTCGCTATGAAAGTTTGACAGATAAAATGAGGGGTTATTGGTTTTACCTATGTTTCGAGGGGTGATTCGACAAGCTTGGGACCGAAGATAGTACCAGAGGTGAGCCAAAAAGTTGAGCACGTTTCTTCGGGACCTACTTGTCTTAGAGTTACCTCTATGTAAATACTATTATTCAATTGTAACTGGAAGCGTTTGGTACGGGAGCTCCACGCTTTCTTCCTTTCCCTTGATCTCAGGTTGTGGAATGGTTTCAGATGTTTATTTCTGACATCACTTGACTCATTGAAATCCTCTCTGCGGCACATGCTGCGCAGTTGGCCTGGCCGTTGACAAGAAAAATGACGGATTCGTGAAGCCGTCATTTTCCAGGATGCTTTCAAAGTATTGGCTGCGTTAGTGTGAGATTAGATTAGATTAGATTAATGCAATAGCCACTCCTCCTCCGCAGAAGCTAGTCCGGTCTAGCCTTACGAGCCGAAAATCGGTGGTGAACATTTATCCCAGGCTTCAGGTGTGTTTCGGTGATGACGGCGATGTCTATGCTATGTTCATTGAGGAAATCAACGAACTCAATGATTTTACTCTTGAGCGAGCAAGCGTTCCAATTGACTATTTTGATGGCTTTACGGTCCATACTTTTGCACGAGGGACATAACTGCACGAAGCTGTTCAGGTAGTGTCTTGGTGGTGCGCAAGATTATGATCAACAATCAATACGAAACTAACGATTTTAAATTGGCTCACCACTTTAGTAGCCTATTGGTCCCAAGCAAACGATTAACGTACCCTATTCTAGTTTAAATTCTGTTACTACACTATGTTTGTTTTGATTCGCTATGAAAGTTTGACAGATAACATCAGGGGTGTGTGGATTCATGCAGAACATGCAGGGGTGAGTGAAATAGCTTGGGACTGCTTGGGACCGTTGTTCTGGTACTGAGTGAGCCAAAAATAATAATGATTTTCTTCGGGACCCAGTGGTCTTAGAGTTACCTCTATGCTAGTAGGTCCTGAAGAAACGTGCTAAACTTTTTGGCTCAGCTCTGGTACTCTCTTCGGTCCCAAGCTAATCGATTCACCCCTCGAAACATAGGAAAAACCAATCACCCCTCATAGAGAGTTGAATAGATTTTTCTCCTTTAGCTTACTTAAATCTTTGGTTTTAATTAGTTAGGTAGGTTCCGATTCAACACATTGTAGTTTCATTTATATACCTGTGATCTTGACTTTTATACCTAGGGGATGAGTACTTAAGGGGGTTAGATTTTGATAAGTTCTTTAGTGGGAATGGCACTGATGAAGACTGCACATTGTAGTCGAAATACGTATCTGTCATGGATACCAAAATTAATTAAGTGGAATTAAATGGAAGATAACCCTATTTTGCTGATATATTTTGTGATTATTGGTTACTTTGGTACTCACATGAAATGTTGTGCAAGTACCACATGTTCAACAACGCCCAACTATGGACAGCTCAATGTTAATACCATAGAGGTAACTCTAAGACCAGAAGAAACGAGCTCAACTTTTTGGCTCGTCTCTAGGAACTATCTTCGGTCCCAAGCTAATCGATGCACCCCTCGAAACATAGGAAAATCCGCGAACCCCTCAATTTATCTGTCAAACTTTCATAGCAAATCAAAACAAACATAGTGTAGTACTAGAATTTCGACTAAAATGGGGTATGTTAATCGATTTGCTTGGGACCAATAGGCTAGTCAAGTAGTGAGCAAATTTCATTCATTCCTTTATTTAACGTCGGTCTCTGTTCCGCAATCTAGTGCCAATCACCGACGGACATCGATTGCCATCCATTGACGGCAATCGACTGTGCAGGAAGGCAGCTTCCACACCTGCGTAGGATATCGCACCCATTCAAAGACACATGGGCCGGGCCCAACAGCTTTACTTCCCTTCCGAAGGAAGACGTGACCAGAGATTTTTATGCCTCAGAAAAATCCCACCGACCTCGGCTGGGATTGAACCCAGACCCATTGGGGTGTTAGAAAGCAGTCACGATTACCACTACACCACCGGCGCCGGCTATTGAGCAAATTTAAAATCGTTAGTTTCGTATTGATTGTTGTTAATACCATTTCCTTTTTGAATCAGCGTACACCAACATGATAATCTTCTAAGAAACACCTAAGAATGTATAGGGATAAAGCTCAAAAATACAGTTTTAACTGATGGTACTTTATAAACATTAAACTGCCCAATATTGGACCCTGCCAACACACGGCGCCTGCACGGTAATGTTGGCCGTCAGAATGGTTCATCGGTTGCGAAGTGAGGTGCTTCTCAAACTGAAGCGATACATTTATCAATTTTTCAACGTTATCCTAACGTAAACTTAATATTATCACCCATAAGCCCATCCACGCCCGAAACCCATCCACCACACAAAATCAAATAAAAATGTTTCTGTATGGCAAACACGTCCAGACATAAACGAGAATATGGGTGTATATCTTCACTGTAACAACTACAGGTAATCATCGAAAATACTTGCATTTTACTCAGGCACCTTTGAGCAAACTGCAATCACTCTCTCATACTCGATATATGCCACGACCAAATTGGCACAACGACGCCCTATTCGCTATCTGACCAAAGCGCAGGGGACAGTTCTACAATATTCGATTTAAAAGTAGAGACCTAGCTACTTTTGAATTGGAACAGTTGACTGAGTTTTGTGTTGAATGCTAAAGATTTTCTACCAAAAAGAGCCAACGCAAACTTTTAATTCTACGAATTTAATTAACTTTTATTTCTTGTGTGAAGCACATGACCGCTTTTATCTTATACCCGTTCACATTACATATCACTTGATATACACTGTCTTGCAATGAGCACTCATAGATCTAGTTTTCACTGGAAATCCTATGCATGAGTGCTCATTGCAAGACAGCCTATATTACGTGATATAGGCTGTAATGTGAACGGGGTATTAAAAGCTAACAAAATTAAATAAAAAAGTTAAAACATTGCTGATGATCGTTGCGTTTTCTTTATTTAGTTAATTTTTAATGCTTGTTCAGAGGTGGTAAATGTAAACTTTTACTACAGAGATGTCACCACTCAATTGTATGGGGGAAACTAATGTCACGACATGTTTCCCCATAACATTTTCATGGCATTTCCCACGTCTGAGCTTGTTAAAAGCTTCTGATTTTGTACAAATGGGGGAAGGATAATGTAATGTAAATTTCTGGCCCTCCAGCTAACTAATATGTATGTTTAAACAATACATATGCAGCTGGTATAGACTATGAACTTGTCGGAAGCTCTGTGGACTTTTTGGAAGTTTTGTCGAAACCGAGGTCGAAACTAACTATGCAAAAACATCAGAAGAACCAAACCAAACTATTAAGAGTAATACAGATTTATTTTCGTATCCTTTATGCGCATAAACAATCGATGCGCAATTGAATCTATAATAATTAAAAGAAAATGCTGTTAGCTGTTCTTATATACCTTATTTAAAAAAAAAATCCGCTTAAAAGCTAATTCAAACACGTCCAACAAAATACAGCTAATCAAAAAATAACAAAACTTAGTTCTCAGCATACGCGCTGACGCTGAATCGTCCCTACCAGGTTTGCCGTATGATCGGTTCCACCTTCCGCTCTACGATGTGCTGAAACTCCTCCGGCAGCCGCATGTGAAAGTTTCGGGAACTGAACACATTCCTCCGCCGGTCGTCGTCGGAGATCTCAACCGCCTCGACCGGTGGTTGTCGCTCGTTGGTTCGGATTGGAAACCGGTCCACATTTTTGCCATCGCCGCCTTCGTCCGCTACTACTTCAATCGTGACTAGCTCTGCTCGGAAGTAATTCGCTACTGTTACTGGCTCGTCGTCGTCACCCGGGTGCATTTGGACGGTGCATTTTGTGAGAATGATGAACTGGAATTTCACCCATTGTGATTATCTAAGGTTTATTGGAATTGAGATAACTTGAACGTACCTTCAGAGAAGCTATATCTTGGAGATCCGACAAATCCAGCCTGAGACGATGTGCATGGAAGTACTCCAGGTGTGGAAAGGTGCCACTGAGTAATGTACCGTCTACTACGGATTTGTCAATGCCCGCAAGCGTCAGTCGTCGGAGATTAGGAAACAGTTTGAGATATTCCTTGACTGAGAAATATTCGTCGCATTTGTCCGACAATCGGAGAAACAGTTCCGTTACATTTGGCGGCGGCGTTGCCAATTCCTTGCTCAACGAGTCTAGCTCCATTGCCATGGTACAAATTTGTTCCTTGTGAGGCAGAATCAGCTGACAGTAATCCGATTGGGGTGCAATGAATGTGGTCAGTTGTGGGGCAACCAGAGGAACGTTTCCCAAAATCAAACCGATGCACATTTCTTCCAGTTTAAGATAACGTAGCTTTGGGAAAACGGCTCGGTCGTTACGGGCGAACGAGTGGTAGATTCCTCTGAAGGTGAATTTCTCCAACACAGGGGATATGGTTTGTGAAACCTGAAAGGACAGCAGACCTTCCATTGGCTCGTCGATGGTCAACTCGCGTAGATTGCAACATTTGTGACATATCTTCTTGATGACGTTACTGTGGCACATGATAAAAGACAGAACCTGCAAATTCTGCAGAAACATCTCGCATGCCTTCACTCGCTTTTGGTTGACTTCGAACAGACCTTCAATTTCAACGTTTTGAAGTTTGGGAAACGTTTTCAGCTCCAAACTGGGCAGGAACAGTTCACAGATTCCTTTAACTTTCGAACGACTGAACAGAGGGTTCCGCACAAGTTTACTGTTCATTCGGACCTTCAACTGGGACAGCTCTGGAGCAATCACGGCAAATGCGTACCACTCGTCGAAGAATATGTTCGATTCACGATCACCCCAGGTTCCGGGATCAGCGTCCGACTTTTCTATCTCCAACCAGGTCAACTTCTGCAACTTAGGCAGTGAAAGTTCACAAAAAGCATCATCCGTCGACTTTCCGTTATAGGGAGACCCGAGTTCCACGTGCAGTTCCAGCAAATCTTCCAACCACGTCCGGTAATCCTCGAAAAATTCAGCCAACGTTTTGTTCGGTGTCCCTCTGATGTACAGTCTTTGAATCGGAAATCGCTCCTGACAAATGTCCAGCAGGTCATGCAAAGCAGCCATACTCCGTTCACTTTCACCATCGCCCCATTCTACCCGCAAGCAACTGTAGCGTCGTGTGGACTGCTCCAAAACCGCCTTGTCGATCATCAGGGTTTGTCCGTACTGGTCATACAGTCGGATACCGTACGAAACCTTCAAGCAGGTTCGCCTGAGCAGCAAAGCCTCCACGACATGACCCCATCGGTGACAGACCAAACCCACCGTAAATTGGTCGTTCCTGTCGCAATAGCCGAAGATGTGCTCCAGAAGTTCGTTGGGAAGAATGTTAAAGGACATTCTTTGTATGTTTTTTATCAGCAACCAAAATGCACCGACGTAAACAAAATCTTAACTACTTTCGCGAACGAGCTCAAAGCAAAGATGTTCATGCACACTCTAACGGTAAAGTCACCATTAATGGATACAATTTCACCCATTTTGACAAAATTACATATTCATGAGTAACGTTTATCCGCCAATGGGTAACAATTACTCATTTATGAGTAACTTGTAACTCATTAATGGGGAAAAAAAATTGTTAACCCATAAAATGGATTGACTTATTTTTCTTAAAAATGTTACAGTGCGGTAGCTGGAGTTCACGAATTCACGAGCCTCGTAAATGAACGTTGCATCTGAAGCTGTCATTTGACTGCATGTTTTGCATTATTTTGACATTTGCCGACGACAGTCATCGATCATCATTATTTGGACGGATTTGGATGCGCTTTCATACACACAAGTACATATCGAGTCCGGGAGTACATAAATAAAATACCTTCAAGTTCACCGCATTAGTGCTTTCTCTTTGTGAAGAAAACCTTCGTTGTGTAGTTTGAAATCAGGAAAAAAGTGCAGCAATATCGGTAGGTAAAAATAAAATTCAACCATGACCGTGAAAATATTGATTATCGATGCAAACGGCACATGCCGACATCGTCATCATCCTTTCCAGATCCGAGCTCCTCCCCGTCCGCACACAATCGACTCGGCTCTATCATATCCGCACCCAGCGCCGGCAATCGACACCATCATATTTACGACGAGCGAAGACGGCACGGTCGGGTGAGTGTCTGCGTGTGAACCGAATCGTCTCATCGGCTCGGCTGCAGCCTGCAGCGTATCGATAAACAATAAAAAAAACACAAGTCAGTCGTCAACATTACGTCCTCAAACCGGAAACTGTCCGACCTGGTGATGGCTAAACGGGCCGCCGGTTTTCTCATATTCCGCCGGCTGCGGGAACGGATCGAGTTCCTGATGCTGCAGGCGTCCTACGGGCAGCACCACTGGTCTCCACCCAAGGGACACGTCGACCCCGGCGAGGACGACTTCAAGACGGCCCTCCGGGAGACGATGGAGGAGTCCGGGTAAGTTTGTCCGCGCCGGTACGGCACTGTTGTCTTCGTTTTATTAAACCTCTTCACATTAGGTAATTTGGTTGACGGAATGGGTCAAAGCATTTATGCACAGACAAACAGACATAACACTCGCAAGTTGTTCATCGAACAAGCATTTAACGGTCAATTTAAAAGTATCGTAGTTGGTAGTACCGCCACCTGTGGCGCGCATAGTCAATTCCTTTGCGTTTGACGTTTACACACTACCGCCATCTGTTCAGCGTACTACCCACCACAGTGTACTCAACAGATGGCGGTAATGTTTTAGCGACGATGTTTTACAGTGAGAAATATTCAATGTGTTATGTCTGTTTGTCTGTGATTTATGTCTATGTCACAAGGTTTACTTTGGCGTTATTTCTCCTTTACCATTACACTAGTTTTAGATAAGAGTCCTTAATTCCTGTGCATATAAATTCTGTCCTTGGCGGATAGCTGGGAAGGCAAAAAGTCTTTCTGAGGTTCCTAAACGGCCGTTATATGCATAACAGTCACTGGTTCAAGACAATCCTTGTGGGCCGTGGGACATTTATGTGTATAGCCGCAGTAAACTTCTCTGTGGTTCTGTCGCTGTTCTTTGAATTTCTCTGAAATCAAACTGGTCTTTTTTGAAATTCGGATTATTTATATAGGGTTAGCTACCCCATTTCCGGCCTATTAAGCACAATCCGCACTTAGTTTTTCTTAATCTAGCGCAGTTTAGCATCAAACGAATTGTTATTATTATTGATGGCTTCCAAATTTATTTACCTTTCCGTATGTACCGTAAGATTTGATAAAGAGAAACCATCGTTGAGATATTGTCAAAAGTCTAACACTGCTTCTTGAATCCACACTCGGCCTACGGATTCTAAACTCGGCCTAACGCATTGAAACGCCAATGAATTCAGTTCGGCCTATCGGATGAAGATAAAAATTGATTCGGTCGGAGCGCTCCTTTTTTTGGAATAATGGGTGCAAACGTTCATATCACGCGTTCTTATTGACTTCGTTCCGTAGCTTATTAACTAAAGTATCGTACCAAACGCATAATTGACTTGTTAACTCTGAAATCATGGATTTATTTGAAATTTTCTGCTCGATAGGCCCAAAATGGGCGATTAAACGCTGTCCAGACTGGAGAGTTATAACAACAATCAATACGAAACTAACGATTTTAAATTGGCTCACCACTTTAGTAGCCTATTGGTCCCAAGCAAACGATTAACGTACCCTATTCTAGTTGAAATTCTATTACTACACTATGTTTGTTTTGATTCGCTATGAAAGTTTGACAGATAACATCAGGGGTGTGTGGATTCATGCAGAACATGCAGGGGTGAGTGAAATAGCTTGGGACTGCTTGGGACCGTTGTTCTGGTACTGAGTGAGCCAAAAATAATAATGATTTTCTTCGGGACCCAGTGGTCTTAGAGTTACCTCTATGTTATAACTCTGTAGACTGAACGTACTATAATAGTACGTTCAGACCTGAGTGGTGCGGAGAAACACGAAATGGTTGTCAAAAAGAATCCAACTGGTGCTGTCAAAAAGAATCCAACGATCTAGAGCTGCTAAAAGTGATACTTTTCTCATACAATCCCCGTCGGCAGAGAAAGTATTGTGGTCAATGTTGAAAATATTGTCATTTCGGCATTTTTTTACTAAAATTCTTCAACAAAAAACTTGCTCAAATACTCGGATGTAAACAATGCAACGAACGAACGAACCTGCACGAACTGCTGAAGGAAGAATGCAAACAAACTTTATAAGAGTCATGTGGGTAGGTGCATTCCCAACACCATGTACACGTTATTTATGGAGCAAAGGGTGAACTTTCGACAGCATGTATATGCAAATTGTGAGCACTGCATTAGCAAAACAATTTGTGATATCGGAATATTTTCAAGTTGTTTCCTGCTGACTTGCAAAACAAAAACGGCTGTGTTCGCAGTACCCAGGTTCAGACTACAGAGTTATAACATGTTATAGCGCTATCTTGATGGTGGTTTCTGTGTTGCAATTAGTTGACAACCGTTATAACATGTTATAACTCTCCAGTCTGGACAGCGTTTAAGACCAGAAGATCCCGAAGAAACGTGCTCAACTTTTTGGCTAAGCTCTGGTACTCTCTTCGGTCCCAAGCTAATCGATGCACCCCTCGAAACATAAGAAAATCTCCGAACCCCTCATTTTATCTGTCAAACTTTCATAGCGAATCAAAACAAACATAGCGTAGTACTAGAATTTCAACTAGAATGGAGTACGTTAATCGTTTGCTTGGGACCAATAACTGCCGGTAATTGCAAGTCAGTCCCATCTGTAAAAATCTTGAAATGAGAAAACGGCATTCAAAGATTTTTCAAGTTTTCTGATTTGACACTTATTTTGGAGTGATAAATTTAAAACTAAATGTACAATGTGATAGAATGCATCTATGTTTACCCAAAAATATTTGAAAAATATCGTGAAATTTTTATTTTATGTCCAAAATCTGAGTGGGACTGACTTGCGATTACATTTAACGTCAATGAGAAAAATAACCGCAAGTCAGTCACAATTCCATGACGATGTTGCATTAGTTTAGCACAGTATTGAACAGTAGAAAGATACCATGGTCCCATAGAACGTTATTGATTTCTGGATTTGATCCGCTGGTTCCAGAGCAATGGCCGAAACATATTCCGGTGAGTATGTGTCTTCATCAGACAACAGCTTTTCATAAATGTGCCAAACCCACCATGCGATAAATCAATGCACATGAGAATTCTAAAATAAGATCAATAGGACTCATGCTGAGTGACCAGCACCATGTGGGCCACACCCAGACATGTTCCGGATATCGCCCATTTCCGTTCTACGATCAGAAAAGATCAATAATATCAATGATTCCACCGTACACAAATCAATAATAGGTTTGTTCTGATGCGTTAGTTCATTAGCTTTAACATAAATCCTATAAGAGCGCAATTTATGAATATTTACGCTCATCGTTCTCAAAACAATTGAAGCGCTCCAAGCGAATCCCCTTTTTCCGTAGGACGAAGAAAATCTATTGGCGTTTCAATCAATCCTCTGGAACGGCCATTGGTTCTTAAAGCTGCCGTCAGTAGTATTGGTGGCGTTGATGTCATAGTGATTTTAAGCTTGGTTCATACGTTACCATCCACTCACGTAAATAGCACGGTCATTGATTCTTGAAGCCACCGTGAATTCGCTTTCATGCACTTCCCTCTTATAATTACATCGAGCGATAGAAAAACAACTGAAATACACCGAAACAATCATCTAAAACTCCACGCACTTTATAAATTTTCACCTACCGCAACGATACCAAACGCATAAACGAAGTTGAAACTCCTAATGTTTACATTAGCTGTCAATAACTGACATATAATCGAACCAAAAGAACCAAAAAATTGGATTCAAGCTAAATGTTCTTGAATGACTTTGATGTCACCGGAGTGGATACGTATATATCACGTCTATTAACGTCTCTTTAAACTGTTGCCACCGGAGTGGTTTCAATGCGTTTGGACGGAATTGAAACTCGAAGGATGAATTTAGAATCAAGAAGCAGTATTAGATTTTAAACAATATCTCATCAATTTGTGACTCTATATCAAATCCTGTATGGAAAGGAGAATAAATTTAAAGTCATCATTGACAGAAATATTCCTTTTTTGTTCAAACCCGTTCAAAAAAGAGAGGTAAAACGTGGGTTGTGCTTGTTAGGACGGAAATTAGTTCAAAAGCCCAATTCATTGGCGGTAAAACTGAGTATCGTAAGAACTATATTGGCAACATCCGGACATGTTCCAGATACCCTTGGGAAAGTGGACAAAATCTGTCTTGAGACAAATCTCATGATGCGATGTGTTGTCTAACATTTCTAACATATTTTTTTTTTCTAATGGGACTGACTTGCGGTAACCTTTTACCACCTTTTTTCAATAGCACATTTCAAAAAACATAGAAAGATAAACTGAATAATGATGCTAACTCAAAATTTATAAAAATGCAGATGGGACTGACTTGCGATTACCGGCAGAATAGGCTAGTCAAGTGGTGAGCCAATTTAAAATCATTAGTTTCCACCGGTTACTATTAGGCCAAAGTAGTTCTCTACATACACACTTAAACAGAGACCCTGAGTTCGGTAAAAGAATTACCGTCTTATACCCCGTTCACATTACAGCGTATATCACGTGATATACGCTGTCTTGCAATGAGCACTCATACATCTAGTTTTCACTGGAAATCCTATGTATGAGTGCTCATTACAAGACAGCCTATATTACGTGATATAGGCTGTAATGTGAACGGGGTATTAGATCGGTAATGCTAAAAATTACAGATGTTTCGGTATTTTCTCGCTTGTCAAAATTTAACTTCTTGTCTGTCCAGGCCAATGACAAGGCCTATACCAACAGCAGCGTTTGACAGTTGGCAGCATGTCCCGGGCTCAAATAGTTTATTTTGCTGTACTGGGCCCGCTGTCACGGTATAACATGTTGCCTACGCGCCTGCCACCGGGCTGTGTCTGTCAGAAATAACCACGCTCGGATAGCAGGGTTAATCGATAATTTTCTATCTGTCAAATTTTAACCAAAAGTTAAAAAATCCGCCAAATGGTTCAGAGCCTACACGGTAAGAAAAAAGTACCCAACGGCCAGTTCACTTTTACCTACTTTTGACTAGTTTGTCTCATTTTCTCCTTCTAATGTTGTCAAAAAAGAAGGAGCAAAACCACCCAACAGGGGTAGTAAAGTGTGGGAACCCAACGTTGGGTATAATCATATTTACCTACTGTTGGGTACAACTAACTTACTTTTGGTTAAAAAGCTAGTGGAAAATTCCATACGAACTGCACACAAGTAAATCAAAATTACTTTGACCCGCTTTACCTACTTTTGGGTTCCTGCACTATAGTGCCGAGATGAGTGAAAAGAACTTAATTTTGGGTACTTTTTTCTAACCGTGTATAAGACCAGAAGGTCCCAAAGAAAGGTGCTCACATTTTTGGCTCAGCTCTGGTACTATCTTCGGTCCCAAGCTAATCGATGCACCCCTAGAAACAAAGGAAAAGTCAAACTTTCATAGCGAATCACAACAAACATAGTGTAGTTCTAGAATTTAGACTATAATGGGGTGCGTTAATCGATTTGCTTGGGACCAATAGGCTAGTCAAGTAGTGAGCCAATTTAAAATCGTTAGTTTCCACTAGAAACACTGAAATAAGAGACCAGCGGAGAAACTGTTATGATTCCAATCTAACTGTCAAAAGCGGTTCCAATCTGCAATGTTTACAAATGGTTTGCTTCAATTAGGGAGGAGTATTAAAATCGTTTAACAATCACTCATGAACTCGCTCGTCGGTGCATTGGCGAAGTCACTCGAAAGCAGTTACAAATGCAAGTGATGCCATGATTGCTTTGATGTTTATCTTGTTGCCAAATTCATGTTTTTTTTTCTCCGCTGGTCTCTAATTCCAGTGTTTCTAGGCTGTGTTCCATTTGGTGATTTTTTTCTTAAATTTGACAGATGGAAAATTTTCAAATAAACCTGCTATTCCAGCAGACTTATTTCTGACAGACAAGGAATCAATTTTGACAGACGCTTTCTCGAAAATCGGCCGATCAATAACAGAAGGATTTTCGAGCCGGCGCCGGTGGTGTAGTGGTAAGCGTGACTGCTTTCTCACCCCAATGGGTCTGGGTTCAATCCCAGCCGAGGTCGGTGGGATTTTTCTGAAGCATAAAAATCTCTGGTCACATCTTCCTTCGGAAGGGAAGTAAAGCCGTTGGTCCCGGCCCATGTGTGTGTTTGAATGGGTGCGATATACTACGCAGGTGTGGAAGCTGCCTTCCTGCACATTCGATTATCGTCAATGGATGGCAATCGATGTCCACCGGTGATTGCGGAACAGAGACCGACGTTAAATAAAGGAAAGAAGAGGAATTTTCGAACATCTTAATTTATTTTCGAAGTGTCAAATCTAAGTGAAAATTTACCAAATGGAACACAACCCTAGTTTCCACCGGTTGGTTAAGGTGGTTCGCTGTGAGATCCTTATTCTCGCTCCCTAATAAAATATTATGGTTAATTTGCTTAACGACGTGTTCGGGGTATCATACAAATCATTTGTGGAATAGTTCAATCATTTAGGTTATCGTTCGATTATGGTAATTTTTTTATTAGGGCTACCATTTCGAAACTTTAAGCACAGACAAACAGGCATAACACATTGAATATTTCTCAATGTAAAACATCGTCGCTAAAACATTGGGTCGTATGAATAAAAAGAGTTTACTTTACTTTACCGTGCTTTTCTTACGGGAGAAGTAAAGTAAACGCTTTTATTCATACGACCTATTACCACCATCTGTTGAGTACACTGTGGTGGGTAGTACGCTGAACAGATGGCGGTAGTGTGTAAACGTCAAACGCAAGGGAATTGACTATGCGCGCCACAGGTGGTGGTACTACCATAGAGGTAACTCTAAGACCACTGGGTCCCGAAGAAAATCATTATTATTTTTGGCTCACTCAGTACCAGAACAACGGTCCCAAGCAGTCCCAAGCTATTTCATTCACCCCTGCATGTTCTGCATGAATCCACACACCCCTGATGTTATCTGTCAAACTTTCATAGCGAATCAAAACAAACATAGTGTAGTAATAGAATTTCAACAAGAATAGGGTACGTTAATCGTTTGCTTGGGACCAATAGGCTACTAAAGTGGTGAGCCAATTTAAAATCGTTAGTTTCGTATTGATTGTTGGTACTACCAACTATGATACTTTTGAATTGACCGTTAAATGCTTGTTCGATGAACAAATTGCGAGTGTTATGTCTGTTTGTCTGTGCTTTAAGTGCACAAATATCAGCTTCCACGACACGTACTACAATCAAACTGTTACTCCACGTTTGCTGCGCTGCAGTAGCAATTTCAGGTGAAATAAAACTATAATTTCCGGGATTTGTGCAATTAAAAATTCGAGTTGGAAGTGCATTTATAGCCATTTGTGGACTCACAAGGAATCACATTTTAATCGATAACTTTCCATCTGTCAAATTTTAACCAAAAGTTTAAAAAAAAATCCACCAAATGGTTCAGAGCCTAAATCATCGCGATACTTGTAATACATTCTTGCATGAGCAGGAACACGATCGATGCCATTCGATTACCATCTGAAGGTAGTTGCAGTATGCCGAATGATCTCTGAAATACGCTCACTGGATATGTTTTATAAGGCTTTTAACCATTTGCCGAGTTTAATTTAACTCGTGGTCAAAAGTGACATTTCAAAAGTTCTTTTCTATGTTCGAAAATCCCCGTGCTGTCGATCAACCGGTTTTCGAGCTACAATTGTAAAAAATTAAATTCTTGTCTATCAGAAATAACCATGCTCGGATAGCAGGGTTAATCGATAACTTTCCATCCGTCAAATTTTAACCAAAAGTAAAAAAAAAATCGCCAAATGGTTCAGAACCTCTTCTTTCTTCTTATTGAACGTCGGTCTCTGTTCCGCAATCTAGTGCCAATCACCGACGGACATCGATTGCCATCCATTGAATGCAATCGAATGTGCAGGAAGGCAGCTTCCACACCTGCGTAGGATATCGCACCCATTCAACACAGTTCAGAACCTCAGGCTGTGTTCCATTTCTTAAATTTTCACTTAGATTTGACACTTCGAAAATAAATTAAGATGTTCGAAAATCCCTCGATTTTCGAGGAAGCGTCTGTCAAAATTGATTCCTTGTCTGTCAGAAATATGTCTGCTGGAATAGCAAGTTTATTTGGAAATTTTCCATCTGTCAAATTTAAGAAAAAAATCACCAAATCAGTGCCAACATTTCAAAGGGGCGTAATTGCTTTTGTAAAAAATGGCTTTAGACGTAGATTTCTCGCAAATGAAAACCCACCCCTTCAAATTACGAATGCTAGCTAATACAGGAAACATTCCTCTGCGTGCTGGTATCATTCATTTTCATAAGTGTGCTTTCATTTGCGAGAAATCGACGACTAAAGCCATTGTTTACAAAAGCAATTACGCCCCTTTGAAATGTTGGCACTGAAATGATGGAACACAGCCTAAGGCTGTGAACCATTTGCCGAGTTAAATTTAACTCGTGGTTAAAAGTTACATTTCGAAAGTTATTTTCTATGTTCGAAAATCCCTGTGCTGTCGCTCGACCGGTTTTCGAGCCACGGTTGTCAAAATTTAACTTCTTGTCTGTCAGAAATAACCATGCTCGGATAGCAGGGTTAATCGATAACTTTCCATCTGTCAAATTTTAACCAAAAGTTAAAATAATCCACCAAATGGTTCAGAGCCTAAATGTTGTAGACTGACTTCCTACACGCTAGCAAGTACCTTGGCCCTTATTACCGATGTCACTTCACGGTGAAGTGATTCCCATTTGATTTACACGGCAAGCACTTCACCGTGAGTGACTAGTGGTCACTTCACTTCGTTTTCACCGTGAAGTGATACTCGTAACAAGGGCCGTGCAAACTTTACCGATCATTCAGCAAAATTTACAGTCCTGGTCAGTACATTTTGACAGCTCACAAGGAAACAAAATTTACCAAACGGATTTCAAATAAAAAAATTACCGATTAGGTTACCGAATGTTCAGCTGTTTCATATTCGGTAAAAAATTACGGTATACTGTAAAAAAAAAATTAGTGTGTAGAAATAACGCATTTACCTGCAGCCTGCAGTTTTTAAGACTGGCAGTCGATCTGAGTGCTAATAGAAAGCATATCACTTACTTTTAACTTTTTGACTCACCGATACTTTTGTACTTTCACTGTTCTGTTCACGATGTTTTATAGAATATTTCAAGCATGGTAATTCAAGACGATTTATAAAGTATTCTTCTTCTTCATCTTCTTCGCATTTCAAGCTTATTGCGTATCGCATATTAGCTTATAGCGTGCTCTCAACTTAGTGTTCTAGATGCACTTCCACAGTTATTAATTTAGAGCTTTTGATGCCTGTACCATTTTTGCATTGGTATAATTGTGTGGCAAGTCCAATCATACTTCTATGACCAGGGAAGTCGAGAAATTTTCCAACCCGAAAAATTCCTAGACCGGACCGGGAATCGAACCCAGCTACCTCCAACTTGGTCCTACTTTGTACACACTTAGATTTTTCTACCGAGATCGGCTGTGCAAATCTCTGCAAAAGATTTTTTACTGTGATCTCAGCAAACATTTCATTTGTTTGCTGAGATTCAGCTAAGCATTATCCGAGATTCAGTCATCAAATGTCACTTTTGCTGAGATCTCAGTGAAATTTATTTTGCCGAGATTTGCACAGCCGAGGTCGATAGAAAAAACTAAGTGTGTAGCTGCGCCTTTACCGACTGAGCTAAGGGAGGCCCCAATAGTATAATATAAAGTATTCACTCCTACTAAAAATGCTTTTAAATTATATTTAGCATCAAAATTGAAAATGAGCTTAAGCATTTTTTAAATGATCAGTACCGAAAATACTGGTACTTTCAAATGTCAGTACCGGTACAACCCTATAGTTCTAACCGCTGTTTCTCTATTTCAGCTACCAGGAAAGTGATCTCCGGGTTTTCAAAAACCAAACCCGCACCCTCGAATACAAAGTCAAAGGACACGACAAGGCGGTCGTCTACTGGCTGGCCGAGCTGATCGACCCGTCCAAGGAGGTCAAACTGTCCGACGAGCATCAGGATCTCAAGTGGCTCGAGCGGGACGACGCGATACAGATCGCCGGCTACGGGGACTTTGCCGACATGGTTCGACATTTTGACGGCAAGATCAAGCAGGGCTACGATCAGCTATGAGTGGAGAACGGCTAGGACTACTACTATCGGATTACCTTCAACCCATAATACCCTCTAATTATTATGATAGCAGACGAAGAACGCTAATATTTTAAAAACGAGTTTTCCTTTCCACTTTTCGACCTATTACACACGCCTACAATTATATACCTATACATATAAAAAGTACATTACCTAATGTTTATATATAAATGAAAGCAAGCGCCGCACCGCGCGCGGCAGGGGACTGTGTATCGATTTAAAGTTTTTATCCAATTAGCTTTTTAAAGTCGGCCACCATTCTGGGTATCGAACGAAGCGATAATATGAGAAGAGATAGTGAGGATTGAAATTAGGGAAGAAGCGACACAGGTCTTAACCTTGGAACCCCCAATTGAAAAAAATCTTGCTTTGCAAAAATACTGATAATATTAATACACAAGTGACAAAAAAAAAATCTAAGGCTCAGTGAACGAAATAAATGAATGAATTTAAATGCGGGTCCTTTTTTCACGTTCTGGACAATTCTAAAGAGGAAGTTCTTTCACCATTCGAAGCCACCAATCACGTGAACCTAATCTATATTACAAGAATCAACAGACTGGAACCAGCTACCTTATCACCGCCCGGAGTTGTTCCTTCTCGTCTTCTTCCGATACTTTTGCTTCCTTTCCTGGCGTCCTTCATCAGCTGCATCATCAAAATCGTACTCATCGTCCTCCTCATCCAGGTCCCCAGTTCCCTCCCCGAAGCGGTCCCGCTCCTTCCGGTACAACTCTACAAAAGCCTCATACTCCTCCAGGGTCACGAATGCCACCTTCACCGCAAATCGCTTATCAGTGGTGTCGGTTATCTGGTGCAGCTTAGGATTACTGCTAGGATCCCCGGGTTCCGCCTTCAAACTCCTCGGTTTAAACAATCCCAACCGTTCAAGGAACACATGCCTACAGCGAATCAGGTCCAGATCCGCCACAAACGCACATGACTTGACCACCTCCAGCACTTCGATTCGCATTGTCTGCAGAACGTAGTCTATCTTCGGCCTAATGTCCCCCTCCTTGTCCACCACCAGATTCGGACAGTTCAGGAATAACCGCCAGACGTTCTTTCGCGTTTCAAAATACGAATGCAGGAACGCTACCCTCTGGGCCAGCTGGTTGTGATCGGTAAAATCGAACAACTGTGGATGGGCAGCCAACAGCACCTGCATTTGTCGGTCACCAAACTGACACGATCGCCAGCAGTGCATGCTGGAAGTCAACCGGTCCGGATGCCGGGTAAGAACTTCCGGATAGCCTGTCACGATGGAGAGGAAGTTGGCGGTGTCGATACCTTCCTGAGCCATCAGATTGTACGTCCGATGCCACAGCTCGGGGACATACTTGGCGAGTTGTGGTGCGCTTTGGAACAGTTTGGTCAGAGTTTCCTTTTCCAGACCATCGATGGAGGAAGCTAGCGAATTGACCTGGGAGCAAGATGGGAATCGGTTTAAAAAAAAACAGTTTAATGGAATGAAACCAACTTACCAACTGCGACGTTCCTGACTGGGTGCAGTAGTTCCTTATTCGGAATCTTTGTACTAAACGGAACATTATTCCGGTAGGATTTCTAGGAAATTATACAACGAGTGAGCGCGACTCCACGCACTGTACACCGGCTACCGATCGATCAGATGTGGATCGATGTATGGATGAACAAAAACAAAAGCAGTTCATTTTGCGATGTTCACGCTTTTTCAAAACTACCCAAATTTTTAGGATCTACTCATATCGGTAAAAAGTGAACACGCTAACTTAAAAGTGCCCATCGAAGAGTAAAAAAGACCCATTTTGAAGAAAAGTGGCTTAACTCATGAAATGAATCAAAAAGACTTTACTCATTAATGAGTATATGATGAATACGTCAAAAAAATGTACCCTTTTTATTTCTGTAGATTTTTTTTTTTTAATTCTTTATTAAAGAGATTTTTAGCCTTAGGCTAGTTCATCTCTAAATTTCTGTAGATGAGTAAAACAGGGGGAAATGGCTCTAATGTTGGCCTGTTGTTCGCTAAAAATCTGCTATTTATCAATTGTATCTAGATGAACGCATCATTGGGACGGTACTAATGGATATTTTTGGTTGCTATTGAAAATTTAGTCGATTGCTGAATTAATGTATGGGCCCAAATTATGGACACTTAGGCCGACATTACATACATTTCCCCTATTTTGTTGATTTGTGTTTTGCCGAGTGTTTTGCTTCATGATGCTACCTAACCTGACATTAAACCAATTAAATCTTTTAAAAAATCCTTAATAATTGAAACACGCCATACTCTTCATTGTTTATAAACACAATAATCATCATATATCCGAGTTCCGTGGCATAAAGTTGTCCTTGTGAAAGAACAATTTTAGTCCGCGAGAGATGCTGCTCATCGCACAGGTTCGCTTTTTCCTTTTTAGAGTTCTTCGTTAGCCTGAAACGGAACACATTTTCAAAATACGTGCCATAATTTTCATCATGATTGCACTTCTAATTCTTACCTCGTAGCAACCGGTTCAAAATTCCTATAACGACGATTTTTGAAATGGTTTCGGTGAGTATTGTCTCGAATGAAAAAGACAATACTCGTTTCGCGAATGATCGCAACACTCACTTTGGGTCTTCACTTCGTCGGAGATGTGTTGACGTTGATTGAAAGCATTCTTTTTTGCAGAAAACATTTTCTCAAATGGGGAAAAAGTACACGCTTTTCTTTTTTGAAAATATCAATTTTTTACAGATTTGAATAACTTTAAAAAATGAGTACAAGATACACGAAACGAAAATCAATTATTTAATTCATGTGTTTCACTTATACATTTTTGCCAAAGCATCAGCCTTATACATTCCATAAGACAAACCACATAGGTCCTATTAGAATGCATAAAAGGTATGTGTGATTGCTTATACATTTCATTTGACACATGATCTTTATTAACTTTTTGCAAGGTGTCTGCTTATTAGTTGACTTATACAATTTATTAATAATCAGCAATGGAAATTTGCCAAAAGGTATAAGGAGATTTCTATCCGTGTACATATTTGATGGGTACTTCCAAGCAACGTTGCCAGATATACCGATTTATCGGTATTTATACCGATTTACAGATAAGGTTCCTCAGAATACCGATTTTTGAGAATTTGTACCGATTTATACCGATTTTATTAAATATATTTAATAAAATCGGTATAAATCGGTACAAATTCTCAAAAATCGGTATTCAAAATGATTATTACCTGCCCGCGCTCGAATTTTGAAGAAAATTATTGTGAGAGACTCGTATCTTTTTGAATATCCCAAATGTTTTGAGCCTTTCAAATTTAAAAGAAAATCATCCTTAAAAATGTCTTATGGACACTCTTTTTTTTTTCTTTGATTTGTTTTCCGTCGATCTTGTTTTCCGTGCTGAGCACCAATGCTACCGACGCCAGGGAGGCAGCTCCCACACCTGGACCCTACCTATCGACCCATCAACTCATGAACCGGGGACCAACGGCTTTACTTCCCTTCCGAAGGAAGGCGTGATCAGAGATGCTATGCCTCAGAACATCCCAGCGGCGCCGACTGGGATTGAACCCAGGCCTGCTGGGGTGAAAGGTAATCACGCTTACCACTATACCACTGGCGCCGCTTCTTATGGACACTCTTTCGATTAATGTTGCAATTTCCTCACTGTTTTTGGCTACCCATGAATTGATAAACAGTCAATGGCCCTTTCTTGTAATTCCAGAGGAATCGGGAAATACTTTATAAACATTATTCAACTTCCTGAATTATCTTCCACCTTGCATCGTAAATTATTTTACGATTCCTCTCGGAAACTTATTTCGACTTCCCTTGGAGATTTCTTCAACCTACGCTCGAATGGTTCTTCCATCTTTTCCCGCCAGTTTTTTCAACTTTCCCGGAACTTCAGGGATGCTTCCAGATTTTGATTGCGGATTCACACTAGCTGCAAGAACTTTTAAGAAGCTCTGACACTTCAGAAAAGTCCAGACTCTTGAGTAAGTTTCGATAAATTGAAGAATGTTTCAATAACTTCTGTTAAAATTCTAAAATCCGGTCCAGCGAACTCCAGTGAACTTTAGGAAACATCTTAAATATTTCTCGATGAACATTTTTCAAATGGTTCTATCTGCTTTGATCGATTCTCTTTATCGACTTTCTCTTTTGATAAGCACTGCTATACGAACATATTTCACGCTAATTTTGCCACATTGTTTGATAAAGGAGGTCATTGTCTAGCGTCCAAAACGTCAAATACTACAGAGATAGGTTTTGCAGTTGAGTTATTAACGAAAGAGAGAGTCGATGGAGAGAATCGATTAATGCAGATAGGATCTTTTGACATGTTTATCTAGATTTTGGATACTTCACAAGTCCAATGAACTTCTGGAAAATTTAATGGTTTTCAGGACAGTTCCATTAGTTTCAGGAGATCTGAGAGAGCTTTAGGAAGCACATTGTGCGAACATTTTATAACTTTTAAAAATTAGAAAAATCGGGAAGATCAGAGAACTTCAATGCTGATGTTACAATAAATTCAAGAAGATTGTGAGAGCGCTTAAAAAATTTCGTAATCTTCAAGAAAGTCTAGAGACCTTCAAAGTTTATAAGAGATATTCCGCTATTCTCAGTATAATCAGGGAAGTTCCAAGTATTTCAAAGATGATCAGAGCACTCCAAAACAACCCGAGGAAAAATGGAATATTCCTATGTACATTTCAGGAATGTTCCAAAAACTTCAGGGACATCGCGGGGTATTCAGGGATGTTTTCTGACCATTTGGAATTTTTTTTTGGATCATTAGAACATCCCCCAAGAGCTCTTTCTTCCGGAATCAGGTCCTTGTGTTTTTTTGGACTGTTCCGTTAGCGCTTTGGCTTTCGACTTCCTCCAGAATTTTATTTCCAATCTACCTTAGGAAGTTTCTTCCGTTTTCTCCAGGAAGTTCAATTAAACTTCTCCCAGAAATTTATTTCGTCTAGTTCTGGAATGTTGTCCAGAGGTTTTTTTTTTGTTTCTTGACTTCTAGTGGAAGGTTTTTCCGAGCTCCTTCTGGCTTCTTCTGTAAATGCCTACTTCTGAAATTTATTTCCGATATCTGAAACTTTTCTGTCTTGTTTTGAATGCGAAACCTGATTTTTTTCTGAATGTTTTTTTTTTAATTTTCGCCAGAAGTTTCTGAATTTATGTCTTATGATTTTCCGACTTCTCTTAGAACTTTCCTCAAATTTCCTCCAGGAGAGTTTATTTTTTCTTTCTCTGGATGTTGTTTTCAGCTTCCTCCAGAAGCTATTTCAAACATCCCCCGGAGTTTTCTTCTGAAATTTTCCGATCATAGTCCAAAGAGATAAAAATTTTCGCTTTCAAATTTTAAATTAATTAAAATAGTAACTACCGATTTTTTAAAACCTCTGATACCGATAAACTTTAAAACATTCTGGCAACGCTGCTTCCAAGTTAGCGTGTAGTCTAGGTCTCGTGGCCGTATAGAGGACCACCGGTCTAATCAACGTCTTGTAGATAGTCAACTTCCAGCGGCGGCGAATTTTATTGGACCGGAGCGTTAAGTTAAGATGCTCAACAAATCTCACACTAGCGAATCAGTCTTCGAAAAATCTTCTTTCATTTGTCGCATCTACTTGCATCGAGCATCATCTTTTTGCAGGAAATCTTCAGAATCGTCATCAATCTTCTTTCTATCAACTCAGTGTGCGCGCAGCTAGCCACAGCAAAACACAATCTTTTTGCATCGTAGATAGAGCCGTCCCCCTCGCTCTGGAGTCCAAACTAGGCACGATCCCCTGCCATAATGCGTCTTTGAATTTTTCGGCGGTCACCAGTGAGCCGAAATACACGAACTCGTCGACCACCCCGATTTCGTCACCGTCAATTTGAACTGGATGAACTTCCTAAAGATCGTGCCACTCGTGTCCATCCCACCTTCCAACGCGATGTTAAATAGCAGACATGAAAATCCACCACCTTGCCGTAGCCCCCTTCGAGATTGAAAGGGACTCGAGTGTCCCCGATACTCGAACAACGCACATTACTCGATCCATCGTCGCTTTGACCAATCGGATCAATTTAGACCTAGCACAGACATACAAAATACACCGTTGTAATACCGTTGCACCATAGAGGTAACTCCAAGACCAGCAGGTCCCGAAGAAACGCGCTCAACTTTTTGGCTAAGCTCTAGTACTATCTTCTCCTACCAAATCATGGCAATTATCCAGTGCAGCGCTCTAGACAGTGCTTCACCACCGTATTTTAATAGCTCACTTGGTAGTTGATCTACACCATTTGTTTTGTTGTTTTTCAGTCGACCGATCTACTTCTCAACTTCTTGAACATCTGGGGCCGGTAGCCTGTCCTCTTCTGCGCGTGCTCCAAGGTCTGTTGCCGCGAACTATTTCCATCGCCTCGCGATCTCGGTCTTCCTGCTGATACTTCTTTCTTCGAAAAATCGAGTTTTGTCTGTACTTCGCTTGTCTGTACCGTTCCACATACAATCTCGTGCGGTGTTGCAGCATTCTCGCCCAGGCTGCATTCTTCTCCTTTACTAATAGTTTGCATTCGCCGTTAAACCGGTCATTTTTCGGTCCGGGATCGCAG